TGCCTTAGCCACCCTAAATTCCCCTTAGTTTTTCCAAACCCGGCTGGCTGGATGGATGCAATAATCATGGAATGGATGGAGTACTAGGCACAGTACACGAGCACGGCCCGCAGGTGTGGTTGACCAGGATCGGGACGGTCGGGGGTTCGGAACTTTAATCTAGATTCCTTTTACTTCTCTTCTTGTTTGCTGTCCTCGTCATACTCGTATGTAGATGGGTCTCGATCACTGGATGAGGGGTTAGCCATAATTGCTGCCAGTTTTCGGAGGTTCTGTTGTAATCGACGGTGATAGATTGTTCCTTCCCGGTCATTTACAGCCCGATAAATGTGGGGTCCGCCTTTTACGTGAGCAGCTTCCGTTGTTGATTGTTTGTCTATCTTTATTCGTTATCCTAGGAATGCATCATTGGGAGTGGAATCATCCCATTCGAATGTTTTGCGTAGTCCGCTGAGACAACCGGCGAGCTTGACCTGGGTATACTATTTTACTCGTATGTATTTACTATTCTCGGTGCCCCCCCCCCGTTCTCTTGCCTAATTTTAGAAGCATTTCTGGGAAGACGACGAGAAGGCCGGTATCTGGTGTTAAAGCGAGGGAAACTGAGACAATTGACTGTGGGCATGATTCGGAACAACCATCGCGAGAGAGTAGACTCCTTTGTGGTATGGTGGCTCGGGCATGGATAGAATGAGGTTAGGTAGACACCCATAGTGATGGCACTCGACAGGAAGTGGGCACTGTCGGCGATAGTTCCCAGGCTTTGCGGCGTAGCCCTTGCGCGGCACGTTGTCGCAGTAAACGTGTAAGTTGATATCAGAAGTATAGCGACAGGTCGATTATTGCAGATGCAAATGCTCATCCTGCTGGCTCCAAGCGCAGGAGGTAGGGGAAAGTTACCTTGAGAAGACAGGTGATGCTCCCGCACAAAAACTTACGGGAGCAGCAGTTATCGTAGGTTGCGACTCAGTTCGCTGACTGTCGGCCCACATGAAGAAGCATGTGATAATGATAGCGACCGGATTCCAACATGACAATAACCTGCGATGTATACCTGAGGAGGAACAGTGCTTCTTTTCCGGAAAAAGCGATAACCCGATCGCGATCGTGCCGGCTCCTGGAGGGCGACCTTTCTCGTCGACATCGCTGCGTTGGTTGGCAAAGTACCCTCATGAACAGTAGTTAGTAATCAAAAGTCATAATTTTTTCCTATGGATATAAGCTAGGATTCGCTGAGTGGGTTCGTTGTACAGGTCTTCGTTTAGTTGACTAGATCTAGGCTTGGTGCTCACGTTCTAGTCATATTCAAAAGTTAGTCCTCGACAATCGAATCTTTAATCGCGGTAGCGCAGTCTATGTGTCTTAATCCGTAGTATCAATTGAGTAATGGTCGAGCCCAGTGAACTTCCCTAGATAGACTCTGTGAGTCTGGGTTGCATCATCAAGCTAAGGTATGAGAGATTGTTCTCCCATTCAGGAAGAGAGGTCCGTCGGGAAAGGAGGCCCACTACCCAGAGCCACTATCGTGAACGAACAACCAACAAGGTTTCCCTTGGCCTTCCTAGGACAAAGATCGATGGAATTATACAGAGATGGTGAATCGGTTGTGAAACCATCTCTATGATTTCCGCGCAAGCCATCTGTCCATCTTGAAGCCGGATCTACCACTTTCATGTTCATAAGGCTAGCGGTTTGATAATCAAAGATTCAAAGTTGACTGTGCCGTACCACGGGCCGAGCTCAACCTTATGCCTGATTGGGAAGTGGACAGAAAGTCCCAAGCCGTGTAGCCAATCACACGAGGAGAAAACACCAAGAATCTTGATTACCCTAAATGGCAAAAGCAGGGTTCATCACTTGGTGGGGCTAGACTGCGATAGGGAAGGGGGGCGGGGAGGGCGACAGGGGGATGGGTTTGGGATTTGAGAAAATACTGTTTTGGGTTTGGCCTGCTAGTGGCCGGGGGTCCACCCCGGGGTGGGCAGGCGGGCGGGCGGGCGCGGCGTGGATGATTTTTGTCCCAAGACGGCATGACGAGGAGAGACTGAGATCCATCCAGAGACACACACACACAAAGAGAGAGAGTGTGTGTGTACTGCGTATGTGTGTGTGGCGCGTGCGCAATGCTTCGCTGGCCAGATTCATGATTCATCCAGAGATTCCAAGGTTGGGTCTCGTTGCTTCATGACTCTCAAAATCGTATCACAGATAGAAAAAAAGAAGTGTTCTCCAGCCCTAGTAGGAATGATTGTCCTACCACAGAGGTGAGGTAACCCGACAAATCCAGGACTTACGTCAGTCAGTCGTTCTGCACGGACTGCAAAATTTGGAGTCCCTCAGTAGCAGCAGCAGCAGCAGCAGCAGCAGCAGTAGAGCAGTACTGGCCAATGCAACCTTCCTTTTTCCCTCTTCGGTTTGTGTACTCTTCCCACAGGATGCATCTCCACCTGGATGAACCCATGCTTTCACGATCAACTGGGATCGTAGCGAATATAATGAGCCTGATGAAGACGAGGAGGATGCATCCTGCAGATTGTTTCAGGGGGTGGACTGTCTAGGAAGCCCGGGAAGGAGATAACTACCTCCTCCGTTCTCCGTCCTTTCATCAAAGATGCGATGGAAGAAGCAGTGAAAAACTTTGAAGGATAAAGCCCAGAGAAAAAATCAATCGCGTGTGATTGGATGGCTCGTTCGAGATTATGTGGAGGTCACGTCAAAGAGAATCCGGTTGGGGAAAAGTCGCGATCGATGATGGATATTGAAAATTTGGAACGTCTGGATGCAGTCGGTATTAATAGCGGAAGAATTGAATAGTCGCATAGCCAAATAGTCAAGCAGTCAAAAAGCATCCACAAATCCCCTCTCTCTCGGCAGGACTAACTGGAATTAGACTGTAGTCGAGCACAGGCTGTTGCTTTTCAATGTTGGATCGTCCAATTTTTTCGTCCATCTCAACGGTAGTCGTTCTTGGAGGGGGAAAAATGGACAATCATGACTTGGCTGGGGAGCGGAGATCCCGACGCCCGTCAATCTCGTCGACTCGTTCGAGGGTCCTACCTGAGACCGGCAACCCTCCATGCCAATCGGTCGGCATCGATGCTTTCATACCACCGTTGTAGGGGGAATGAATGATGGAGATCGCAGTGTACTATGTAGATAGTAACTCAAGTAGGTGAGGTAGTCCTGCAGGTTTAGGAAAGAGGCCACTCCGCATTTACTGGTTTGGTGTGCACATGCCGCGGCACTGGCTGTCAGACATTTCGAACTGGTTCATTGATTCAGGGGAGGGGAGAAGAAGAATTTGGAACAAGAAAAGAGAAGAAAGACAAAGACAATGCTACTGAGTACAATTGACAATTCCAAGGGCAGAGATCCAACGTTGAGAAGAGCAAGATGGGACTGGGTTAGTTAGTTAGCTAATGTTCAGAGAGTTACGAGTCCTGCCGTACAAGTCTTACAGTATTCTACACTGTGCTGCAGAGAGTAACTTATCAGAATGGATAGTGTATCTTTCTGGGTCAATCTTTCCCACTCTGTTGTTCCAAGACCCACTCCGAACAACGATCTATCGGTTAGTTTGGAGACCGAATGCCAAAAGTAGTGTCCACTGAAGGGGGCGCCCGGAAGGGGCAAAGAGAGACAAAATGAAAATAAAGAATTATTGAAAAAAAAAAGGCAAATAGGAAAAAAGGAAAAAAAGAGGGTGCGCGGGTAGGCAGGGAAATTCTATTAGATTATGCTAGTATTAAAAGACCAGACCTCGAACATGGCGTGCCAACAGGATATCTCATGTTTTATATGTGGATGTGTTTGTTTTCGAGTGTTTGGTGCAGGAGAAATCATTTATTATCATTCTAATTATTATTCTTATCCTTATTCTTACTTCCTGCTGTCTCGTTGTTATTATCAAACCGCAAGGTGCCTTTCACTCGCTTGCTCTCTCTCTCTCTCTCTTCTACCTCTTCTCTCTTATTCTATATCCCCTTTCCCCCTGCGAGTCAATCCTCAACCCTACTTACTGCTACTCTTCCTCTGTTCCGACTATTACTCCTCCTCCTCCTCCTCCTCCTCCTATAAACACCTTCCCCTCTCCCCCCCTCAATCTTCCCCCACCCACTTGGCCCTTTCCCCTTTCCCTTGTCTCTTGTACCAGGCAGACCCGGTATGATGCCTGTCGGTTTGTTATGAAACATACCTTGCGCCAAGTTACACCAACATCCAGAGGAAAGGTTCGACAATGCCTGCACGGCGCAGTTACAGAGCCCCATCACGGAATGGCTGTTATGGGTGCAGGAACCGGCAGATCAAGGTAGGCTCGCTAAAGTTTAAGTAAAGTTGTTGTTCCTGCCTGCGGTTGTCCTTCGAATATTGGTCGCTCTTCTTTTCTTCGGCCGTTCCCTCCCCCTCTTTCTTTCTTTCTTTCTCTTTTGTTTCTTTGAATATATTTCCTTTCCTCTCTTCTCTTTCCTTCCTTATTACATGTTCGTGGTGGTTGTCTTTCTCCTTCCGCTTGCTTGCACTCCCCCGGGCCTGCCTTACCCCCCTCCCTCCCCTTCCCTCGTCCCCCTTTTGTTTCTCAATGCCTGAATGCCTTACGATGCAGTGATCCCCATCCTTCAGGCACCTTACCGCGTGTCGGCGTTTGAAGCATAATTATTTCCCCCATTCGGAACCTTTCACTCAAGATTGAATCTATCCCACCGGCCTTGCCCCCTCAAACCCCCCCCTTTCAGTTTTCTCCACGTTAAGCTTCAATTGTGACTGGATGGCCTTAATATCTCCTTTCCGGTACTGATTGGCAGATGCAGTGCCCAAAAGAACACCCTCAGTGCTCCCATTGCACCAGTGACAACATAATATGCCAATATATCTCCTCGTCTAGCTCACTGGTGTGGCCCAGGGTCAAGTCCCGCTCCACCACTCCAACCATTCCGCCAGCACGGACAACGGCGTCTCAACCGCAACCCAACACCAGGATTTATGCTCAGTATCGTCTCGTAATGGACCACTCCATTAGTCCATGCCCTCCGCCGGGAGGCGAACTCAACATCCAGGACTTGGAACTAATGATGCAGTGGTGCACCACCACCTACCGTTCTGTCTCGCGCAACAGCACCGTGGAAGGAATTTGGCAGGGCGTGGTCCCGCGCGAGGCAATGCGCCACCCATTCCTTATGCATGGTATTCTGGCCCTGTCAGCCCTACATCTGGCCTCCTCCACCTCCTCCACCACTGGAGCCAGCAAAGAGGAGTATCTGCGCATCGCCAAGAGTCATCAGCAACAGGCCGTTGCGGGCTTGGCCAAGGTCGCCGACCATCTAGACCGGTCCAATTGCAACGCGGCGTTTGCCCTCTCCAGCATCATGGTCGTCTTCGCGTTCGCCTTCCAGGGAAACCCAATTCCCACCGCCAGCACACAAACCAATGCCTTGGATGCGCTTATGGACATTTTCCAGTTTACCAGGGGCTCCATTGATGTACAGGGCGAGATCATCGAATGGGTCGCGGATGGAGAGTTCAGCGCTCTCCTAGAATACGACAACTCGCAGCCTAAAATGCCGGACACTTCGCGCCTGGCCATTATGTCTCTCTCAAGGCGGAATACTAACTTAGCGACCAAGGATCCGACGCACGAAAAGGATGTGTACGATGCGACCATCAACCATCTCGGATTCTCCCTGGATAAGCTTGCACGGGGAGGTGAGACCATGATCATCGCCTTTCAATGGATATTCCGGATTCCGTCGCGATATGTGGAATTGGTCCGGGCGCGAAAACCGTTTGCATTGGCGATTCTAGCCCACTACGCTGTCATCATCCACTCGTTGCGAGGGCATTGGTGGATTGGCGAATGGGGGACTCGATTGATCCGCGACATTGGCCAGCATCTGGATGCCGGCTGGAGAGAGTCGATCAGTTGGGTCATTGACGCCACAGGTTGTTATATCCCTCCGGTCTGAACAAGCCCACCCGGCTTCTCTCTACGACCACCACAGATGTTCGCCTGAATCGCGCCTCACTCCACGACGCATGTCACCATAGCACTACGCACAATCTGCTACGCTGCAACCAGCGAAGCGCATGCACTTCCCGCAGCATGGGAACGTCGCTCTCGGGGGCGTACAGATTCTCAGCAACTAGCGTGGGCTCTTACCACACTGAACACTGCGCTACTCTTCCTTTCCGCGATCGACACTGGGATTTCGATACCTAGCCCCGCTCATTCAGGGATCAGAATCATTCATTTGTTCTGCCGACATTCCCCTAGAAACAGACTTTCGAATCCTCGACGCGCTTTCAAACCTCCAACTCCTCCTCAACTGAACGCCCTGCTCATGAGAACAAAACACCACTGGATCCCGCCATGACAGCCAGCCTGTCCCCGACCAGGTTCCCACCCCAACCCAACACGGGCTCAATTGCAAAATAGAATACAGGGTGCTGGACATCTTAACGGAACGGCCATGACACATATACGAAGAATTTTTTCCTTATAGGGGTTTTGTTGAGATGGAATAGCGTTGATCCTGGCTACTTGACCACTATTAACTAGCCCTTCCTCCACCGGTGTCTCCCCGCGCGCACTCCTCTTATAGCATACATTTTGGCCTTCTCCGTTCTATCATAGCGACCGCATCATCTATAATATATTCTTCTGGATAGAAAGAAAGACCACTACTCGGCATGCATACATTCATATGACAAGAAGATACACTCCTCGTTCTCGAACTACGGTACCGTGCCGGTGTAGTTTTGTTTCTCTTTATCCTTCCTTGGGCAGAACGGGATGGAGAAGGATCCAATGGTATAAATTAACGAGAATTCCGCAAGGGAAGGAGAGAGGGGGGAGGCTATTCCTGATAAGCCCGTGCATTCTCATTGGAGAGACATTTTGTTTCCGTCTTAGTGCCGTCACAAGCGACAAGCATACAAAAGGCCGACGACGCGCTGCAGAACCTATGATCCTTTTTTAATGAGAAGGTAAGCATGCATGGATTATGGACAGGACAAAAAAAAAGAAAAAAAAAGAAGCCACCCATCCTCCGCTGTTGCGGACGGATCAGAACAAGACCAGTCAACAAAACAACACAAACAACACCTTGACCAAAACCATACACCGGCGCCTGTTTCCTAATTTTGACGTAAGTCTACATGGGTATTGATTAAATAACATAATGTGTAAGAAGGAGAAAAAGAAGAAAGGAAACGGAAAAGGGGACCGGCTGCTGCCTCCTTGCAAAACCTCTCCACCAACATATGGCGAAGAAGGGAGCAGAGATTCAGAGAGTCGAAAGGAGATAAGAACCCCGAGAGGCCTCTTCAGGATCATCAGCAGCATCAGCGACATTGTGCCATTGACACCATCAATATCACCATCATCACCACCACCACCCCCGCAGCATATTGTCGAACTCCCCTCCTTGACAAAGAGTCGAAGCTGCCCATTAGTGACCAGAGTCGATCACAAATATATCACCCCTAGCATCCACCATCGAGGGTTACCAATTATGTAGTCATGTTTGGAGAAGAACCAGAAAACCCGACCGGGGACAAGGAGAGATACCTGTCCCACAGCGCCCTCGTCCGCCGGTAGTTGCCAAATACCGACTGCCAACGACAAGCATATCGAATTCTGAGGGAAATCAACTCCAAACGTGTGCTAGTCAACTGGACGAGGGTTGTCGCTCCTCGCTGGCCGGGCGACTCTCGCTACTGCTGAGAGCTCCCGGGGAGGCCACCGCCGCAGGAGGAGTATGCGCCGCCCCGGCCGTGTGCTCGAGGTCCTTGCGGCGATCCTTGGACTGGGTTCTCACGCGGGCCAGTTGGGCCTCCTGGGTCTTGACGCGCGCCAACTGCGCCTCGCCTTGTTCGCGCATGCGCTTCTCTTCTTCGGGGGTGGGGAAATATGCGTTTGCGACACCGCCTGTGGGAGATGGAGATGGATTGGTTAGCTTTTGGGACGAGGCTTTTCATCTCGACTATAATCAGGAAAACAGAGAAAGAGAGACGAATCAGGACCACGAAGAAGGTTGAGAAAACCCACCTCGTCCGGTAAAATGCGGCGCCTCGTCCATGCGCAACGGCGGGGTCTCGACGTCCTGCAATTCGCGCGCCAGTTCGGGATGTTGCGGGTCGTTCTGCATCATGTTGCCGGAGCCGCCGCGGCCGGTGGTGAAGACATCTTGCTTGATGGTCGGGGTGACGAGGTCCTTGGTGGTGGTGCGCGATCCGCCGGTGCCGGAGAAGATGTTCCCTGTTGGTATTTGGGGAAAGATTTAGCTAACGGGTTCTTTGTTTCTTGCAGTGTCCCTGAGGGGGGATGATCGGGGTAGGAAGTAGTGAGTGGGGTCTTCGGGGAAGGGGGAGGGGGGGGGGGAAATTGAAGACGTACCCGCGCCACCGCGACCATGAGAAATATTCCTGCCCATGACTTTTTTCCGCAGCGGGCGATACCGTGGAAGATTGTGGGAGATAATGAAATCGGTGACAAGGGGAAAAGAAAGTCAAGGCGCCTCGATCCGTCCGTTTTGCGAAAAGCAAGAGATTAATTGCACGAGACGGGAAAAGAAGTTGCGATCGGCTCGACTCGGTTGAAGGTTGAAGATGGAAATTGTCCGGACGGGTTGTTGCTGGTGGTCGCTCGACTCAGCTTTCAAATGGCGAACTGGCGAACTGGTAAGAGACTCTGGTTTCAAGAGGGGTGCACGAAGGATGATAGATTTGCCCCCACCAAGGCCGTGAATTATTGCAACGGTGAGACACAACAACACGAGAGAATGGGAAGTGAAATTCGAAGAAAGAAGAAATGAAATAAATGGTGGTGGATGATGCGATGAGAGCCAAGAAGCAGCAGCAGTTGCCCGTCGGGGGTCAAATGACGTCCGTTTTTTTTTTCCTTGGGCAATTGGCAATGAAGTGCCCGCAACGGCTCCGTCTTTCTTTCTTTCTTTCTTTTACTGCGCCTATTTTACTTCTTGCCTCGAGGATAATCAAGTGGTACCCTCATAAGATACAGTATGTCTTTAGGCATTAGTACCATCTCTAAGTCATCAACCAGACAAAGTCAAGTAAGGTTGGGTCTTGATTTCCCCCCGCTCAATGCAACTGAATTTTTGCTCGGGGCAGTTTCAGTTTCTCTTACCTCACTGATATTCCAGCCCTTCCAGGTGACCCGATCGTGATACTTAGTTGTTGTACAGTACAGGGGGCATTAATTTCCACCCCCGCGCTTTCTTTCTTTCTAGACTGCCTAAGGTACCCTTCCAAATCTCCAGATCTCCTTCTAGCCGGTTACTGCTTTGATCGAGGTCCGAGTGGACCCTTTGTCCAGTATTACCCCAACAAGCTTACTGCTTTTGGGGGTAGAGGGGTCAGATGACTTGTCTTGAATATTAAGTCCGAGGTAAAGGTTAGTACTAAGTAGTTCGTAGGCAGGAGAGGATTGTCTGTTCCGGCACAAATGTGTATTGAGTATCTTCTAAGGGCCTGTATTGAATAAGGCCTGCATTGCACTATGCAGAGTACTGTAATGGTGATCACAAGAGGTAGAGTAGGCTGATCAGTTACAGTGTGGTGCCCTATCTCCTGGTAGACAATACACCGCTTCCCCCCTCCCCCCCCCCTCCCCGCTTCCCCGCCATAGCTCGATCGCAGCTCAAATCAAGCCGTAGATGCATTCGGATCATCCGTGTAAAGCAGGGATGCGAGTTGGATTAGCAAATGTATACCATCGTCTTCTTCTTGCTGAACACGGCATGCATGTCATGCCGGCCGGATGTAAATTTCTGTCTGTAGTCTATCTAGGAAACTGCACGAGTAGTATCACAAGAACAAAGATCGCTTGGAGGAAATTAAAAAAAAAGCCATACATGGTGACCCCGATGCGGTACCCCCTATCATATACACAAGTCCCTGATTTCCATATTAACATTCGAAAGTCGAATTGAAAAAACGCAAAAGTCATGCCCACATATATCATTATAAGATCGCTTCCTCCGTGCTTGCATTTGAGTTCCGTAATGGGGCAAAGCTGACGTATCCCCATACTCTTTTTGGTCGGAGAACACCTTCCACCCAGCGGGAAGGTGGTTATGGAAAATTCACATATCAAACCATCGATACGAGTCTCGTGTATATGCCTCCTCGAAGCCCATGCTCCAGACGCCGTGGGCGCCCTTGACGCGGTACGGGCCTTCCCACTTCCACGTCTTCTTCTTCTCCTTGTACGAGACGGCGCCGACATGCTGCATCTGCGAGGGGGAGATGGCCAACCGGTCCAGCCCTTCCTTCCCGGCCAGCATCTCGATGACGCTATCCACCGCCTTGGTGGGGACCTTGTCCTCCCGTTCGGCCAGGTACCGCAGGAGTTCCGGCACGTGGGCCCGGTTGTAGAGCAGGGCCTGGGAGCAGCAGCCGTGCGCGTTCATGACATGCACGCCGGGCTCCATGGGAAACCAGGTGACGCGGCCGGTCATGAAGAAGAGGCCGATGAGGGCGGGAACGCAGAGGAAGCAGACCACCAGGAGGAAAGGGTTGGTGAGCACGCCCTGGGTGGCGCGGACCTTGCGGCGGGCGACGAGGACCACCCAGGCGACGCAGGCGACGGTCAACGCGCTCCAGAAGAGGTAGACGGGCCAGCTCTCCGAGTTCCAGCCCAGGAACTTCTCCGTGTAGAACAGGCGCACGTACAGCCAGTCCGTGGTCAGGAAACCGCGCTGGCGGCCGTCCTCGATGCGGCGCACGCTCTGCATGGTGTGCTCGTACCAGTTGCGCTGGGCCACCACGTCGTCCTCCAGCATGATGATCCAGGGGGCGTCGCTGCGGTCGTAGCAGGCCTGCAGGCCCAGGCGGTAGTCCAGCAGCGACTTGCGCTTGATGTCCTTCTGCTTCTCGAGGCGGGCGATCGTCACGTGCGGCGCGTCCACCGTCTCGTACGTAAGCACCTCGTCCACGATCGTCGACAGCCACGTCTGGTTGTAGTCCGGGTGGTCGGCGGGGTTGCTGAGCGCGAACAGCACCTGGATGTTCAGCGCGCGCCGCTGCTCCGGCGTCAGCGTGTCCTGGATCGAGGCGACCGTCGTGCCGAGATTCTGCTGCAGCGGCCGTTTCACCGTCACGATCCCCACGCAGGCGGTCTTGTCCTTCGGCGGTTGGTATTCGCTGGGCGGGTAGGGGTAGCTGATGCCGGTCTGGTTGTAGACGGACAGGTAGTCGAGCGATTCCTGGATGCGGGTCAGGCTGTATTTGGGGCGGTAGCCTTCGGTGGATTCGAAGAAGAGGGAGCCCGGGTCGCGGAGGGACCAGAAGCGGCAAAGGAGGAGGAGGAATGAGAAGAGGATGGCGTAGGCGATCAGCAGAAGCCTCTGCTTCCTGTTGAAATGGTGGAAAGCCATCGGTCACATGCTGGGAGGAATTGAAGCGACGAGAGGGATGTCAGTTGACGGTGGCGGAGAGGAGAGGAGGGAATTGAAGCAGGGTATATATTAGAGGCGACAAAGATGGGAGAGAGCGAGAACGCGAGAACGAGGGACACAAAAACAACAATTGCAGAGAAATGGAGAGAAGTGCGAGGATGGAAGAGAGATAAAAGGAAGAGAAAGAGGAAGAAGAAGAAGAGTCAGTCAGCCATGGTCGCCGCGAGTTGCAGATAAGCAGCAGCAGCAACAATGGGATTAGTTTCGTAAACTACTGGCAGCACAACAGCAACAGCAGCCAGACTAAGCCAGGGTCCGTCCATCGCTTAAGCAGCACTAGTCCTGATAAGCGCCTAGTTTAGTGCTTGTCTCGGGCGTGTTTTTCTTCCTCTTCGCCCAGCTTCGTGTTTTTGGGACAGTGGAGTGTGGATTTCCATTTCCATTTCCATTTCCAAGACTTTTCCAACTTGTTTTGAACAGGCCGTCCGAGTGTCTTTTCATTCTCGGTTCCTGACCCACACCTCTCAGCCTTCCTCCTGGGCCACCACGCAATCCACACTTTACCGAACCAAGCACCCCAAACGATCAGGAGTTACCGGAATAGGAATTTCCTACTCTCCCAGCGGTGTTCACTTTACGAAGAATGGATTGAGGCCGTGCAGATGATTGTCCTCAGATGTACTGAGCACATACAATATGAGCATTGGCCATTGGACTTGACTCAAAGACCCCAGGATGGCTTGGATGGCTCCATTTGCCCCTCCCAATATAGGCAGTGAATTTGCAACCTGACCAATGATGGGGCGATGGGCGGTCGCTAAAAAAAGGGCGGGAGCAAAAGCTTAGCTCCGCGATTTGACTCGGTGGAAAAAAAGCCAGGTGAGGCGCTTTATTTTTATCGATCATGGTCACCACTCTCTGCTTTGGTCAGGATGTCTCATGTGTCAATTGAGGGGGGTCTTCGATGATGTAACTGTGAAAAGGATGATATATTGCCCTGGTTTGGGGATATCATGGTCTGTGGTCTATGGTCTAGTTAAAGGAGTAACTTACTACCTACCAGGATATGGTCCGGTGCAAACCACATGTCAGATAATGTAATCGCTATCTAGCCTTACCCAAGGTCCACTGCCTCGGCACTCCAGTAAACTAACTCAGGACTAAGGGCATCACATCCAATCCATCAAGTTGATAAGTATGCATCAAATTCAATGGCACCCTGATGATGAGAATATCAGAAAAGAGAAATTGTATCACAGCACCATGCTTGGCTGCGGGGTAAGAGAGAAGGTTAACCGATTTGGCCGAGGCAAAACGTCTATACCTCACCTCAACTCATAGGTGAACTATAAGGATATAGGTGATGCCAATGCCAGTATTATTTCGAGTACTAGATCTGTATTGCTTCAGTATACCTGGGAATCAGAAAAGCCATTTGATCTTCAAGTCTGTAATCCAACACCAAAATGTCAACCACCATCACCGTCCCAACGTCCTACGAGACCCAGCCCACGCAACACATCAAGCTCTCGCACCACCCGGCCGGCTCACCCACCGCAACCCCCGTCATCACCGTCACGCTGAACAGACCCGAGAAGCGCAATGCATTCACGGGCACCATGGCCACGGAGCTGGAATGGGCCTTCACGACCCTCGACCGCGACGAGCGCGTCAAGGTCATCGTCCTGACCGGCGCAGGCGACACCTTCTGCGCGGGCGCCGACCTGGACATCGGCTTCCCTGACGACAAGCAGGAGAGGCCGATAGATCATCGAGATAGGTGAGTAATCACCCTACCCATGACCTTTGACTGAATGGCAGACACAACCACTAAGCCGCCCCACCAGCGGCGGAAGAGTCGCCCTCGCCATCCACCGATGCCGCAAGACCACCATCGCCGCCATGCAAGGCTCCGCCGTGGGCGTCGGCATGACCATGACCCTTCCTGCCACCATTAGGTCTGTTGACACTGCAACAAAGTAGAGACCACCCAGTTAACATTAGGTGTAGACTCGCCCACCAAGACAGCAAATACGGCTTCGTCTTCGCCCGCCGCGGCATCACCATGGAATCCTGCTCAGCGTACTTCTTGCCCCGGCTGATCGGCTACTCGCGGGCCATGTACCTCGTCGCCACGGGCCAGGTCTTCCCCCCGACCGCGGCGCAGTTCGACGGCCTCTTCGCCGAGACCTTCCCGCAGCGGGAACAGGTGCGGGCGCGGGCGCTGGCGCTGGCGGACGAGATCGCGTCGAACGTCAGTCCGATGGCGGCGGTGTTGAATCGCGCGCTGATGTGGCGGGGTCCCCACTCGGCGGAGGAGGCGCATCTTCTGGATTCGAGTGTCCTGGCGCATATGTTTGCTTCGGAGTATGTGGTTTCCCTGTTCTTGGATTGGGTCCTTCAGAGGTTGTGGGGGAGAAGGGGAAAGGGGAGGCTTCGATCCCGGGGAGGGAGCCTGAGAAACGGCTGCCACATCCAAGGAAGGCAGCAGGCGCGCAAATTACCCAAGCCCGACACGGGCAGGGAATGGAGAAAGTGTGGTATGATACGCTAACTTTTGTTTCCTTGTTTAGGGACCAGAGAGAAGGGGTCCGAGCCTTCTTGGAGAAGAGAAAGGCTAATTTCCGGGCGACACTGGAGGAACACGGTCCGGAGAATTATCCTTGGTGGGCTGAAGTGCGCGTTGATCGGAAGCCGGCTGCTGTGGGGGAGTCTAAGTTGTAGGCCGTTCATGAGAGAAAGTAGAGCAGAAGCAGAGCTGGACATTTAGGAAAGGGGGCAGAGGTAAGAATGATAAGGCAAGCTAGCAGTACAAAGGTAGTAGAAGAAAAAATCCATTTCAATCGCTCACGGATACTCAATATTCATACAATCAAATCCACCAGACTCGAAGAGAAGTCCCGTACGGAGGATGAAACCAATTAAAACAACACAATGCCCAATCATGGAAAGGTAACCCCGTTATGCAGAGTAGAGAAACCTATACCTCATAAACATTTAGGCGATGAAGTGGCGTCTCTTGCGGTTGTACGCTCTCTGATCCTTCAGCCATTGTCGGTAGCCCTGGACACTGCCGATCTTCTCACCATAGTAGTCAGGGACAGGGTTGGCGATGGAGTTGGACGAAGGGTCGACGCGGAATCGGCGGATGCGATCGTAGAATTGCTTTTCTTTCTGAGGGTTGCGAAATTGCCATCGTTAGTATCTTCTCCATCATTTTGTGCGGCTGTCACAACATGGGGAGCGTTGTGAGAAAGTGATAAGTCAAACTCACCTGTAGAAGGGAAGGCTTGTATCTCCGGTAGATCAAGCTCCAGACCGAGTTCCCCACGAAAGGACCAAGGAGCCAGCCCGCCGCACCGCACGCGGCAGTCGCCATACCCAGCACCACAAACGGATCCAGACCCATCACCTGCGCGCCCAGGGACTCCAGATCCTGCGATGAGAGGACCTGCATTCCCAAGACCGTGGTGAAAGCCGAGGTCACGACCGACGAGGCCAGCGTGTAGCGACGCCGGCTGGCACGGAGCTTGAAGAACGAGTCCCAGTCCAGCCGCACGAGCTGCTGCCCGGAGGGGGCAGGCGAGGCGGCGGCGTTGGACTTGGCCCGGCGGGGAGCTGGAGCGGAACAGAGCGAGGGAATGGGCTTCTGCGGGCGAGCAGCCGAGGTCTTCAGCGTGCGTGCGGCATTGTTGGCCGTCGCTGTGCTGGCCGTGCGGGCCGATGGGATCGCATGATACAATTGTCTCGTGAGGTTGCTGTTGGCATGTGCGAATGGTCTCAAGGTTGAGGTGGAGAAGCTTCCGCCGAGAACGGCGGTGCGCATCCCGCAGATTGAGGTGCTGTGCATTGTGGTCGTTGAGGGTCGAGAAATGGTGAGGAAGAAGACAAAGCTGGTTGTCAATGATAAGTTGACGAGTTGGATCAGGTTCGGCGGAGAAAGATGCGCGGATTAGATAAGCGGCGGCTGCATGAGGTCACTGCCTCGGGTCGGCCATTGCAGAAAGAGAATGAATAGTGGGTACAACTAAGGTTATGAGGTGAGAATTCATATATTCCAACCTGAGATTCTTTCACTTTATTACGCTGGCTATGGCCCGAGAGAATAAATCACTGGCTAGTATCTCTCATATTATCTTGATTTGTTCAGGTCCAAAATTCTATTGTTATGTCTATGAGACCATGCCAAATCACAGCTCATACTCTAGAAAGCTTCACCAACGCTGTATCAAAAGTCTATACCGTCCCCTTTCCAAGACGATAGTGTCCAGTCCAACCGCTGTCATGTGCCGCCCAATTCTGGTAAATGAGCAAGTGCCCTAGAAGTGGCCATTCTGCTTGATGGCACCCGGGCGAGACTGGGGCTTGCTCGTTCCAAAGCCGTTGACACGTCCGTACAACCACTTCAGGGTGCCAGTACTCAACGCCATTACCACTGCACTAATAGCAAAGATCCCAACACGACCTTCGAAGCCCGCCACCTCAAAAATCGGATAAGGATATCTGGAGACATATGAGTGGAGTGATTCGGCTCCGAGACTGCGGGATTACATACATTCCGTTGTATGAAAAGCACCGTTCGATCCAGAACCAATACCCTATCGCAATAGTGCTGGATAATCCCAATGAGGGAAGAATAGTGATGGTCCATGGTGGTGACAGAAGTAGGAGATCTATCAGAAGGATCACTGACGGGGCGGCATGGAAGCTTATGTCTGAATTTCCAGGGGTGTTAACGATTACGGGAGTCTGTGCTGTACGATCCTTGAGACTCACCAGCATTCAAGGGAATGATAGCCCAGTCAGGAACGACAAGACGCTTGTCAATCTGGAAGCAGTATATCAGAGACACGAAGAGCAGGGGCGACAGGGTCGAGTACTGACCAAGCGAAGACCCCAGTACAAAATACTAATCAGCACCTCCAATGGCGTACAGCACATCGAGAGGAGGTTCTTGACGAGAAAAAGGCGGGGTGATAGTGTCACATCTGCGATAAGGCCACAGGCCATAGTGACAAGAGAGAGGGAGAGGCCTAGCACGGTGAGGTACTGATAAGGAAAGAAGTCAGAAACCGATGACGGCTGGAGCTCGCAATCACGTACTTGAAAATGCCAGCCATATGCTTCGTTCCTATCAGTCGCAAAGATAAGTAAGCATCGAACATACTCGGCTCCCGAGGCCAAGGATCCGGGGAAAGACTAACGCGTGATTGGGGTTATCGTGCATACTAAGAGATTCATTGGTTAGCAGCTGAACCCAAGTGACCTCAGGCGGACAGCTCAGGATCAGTAAGCACATACTACTTGAATGACCATATAAAGCTAGTGAGACCCAGAAGCTTAACAGTGGTGGAGGTGATTAGTGAGACAGTCCATGGAACAGTACTGAAAAGAGATGGAAATCTAGACGTACATGGACCAGAGCTGAGAACCCTCTGGAAGGGCTGGCCATTCGTTGTAAAGGATGCTTTCGTTGAAGCGATTCAGCGACGGCTGAGGAACCCATACTGCCAAGGGTCTAGAAGATCGAAAAATTGAGTTAGGGGATATGCTTTAGAACAAATCAGAAAAAGATCTAGGTTGATATGATTGACAGGGAGTTGACAGGGAGTGGAATGATTCTCAGTAGTCCACTCAGACAGTATGATATCACAGCTCCAGACTCAGGCTGCTTCCCCGGGTTTTCCGGACCAGCACAACCTAAAGCAGGCTAGTGGGATTCTCACCCGACGGACTGACCGACTGGCCGACTGACTGACTGACATAACCAAGTTGTGGCGCTGCCTGCTCGGAGAAACCTCCCGGAACAACTGTCGACTGAATAGACTAATTTAACAGTGGAATTCCAGCCAGTCTTATCTGCCCTTCTCTGATTGACGGAGAAAGCCGATGACTGTGGTTATCGGCAGGTTATCTTGCTTATTGACTGGTCTACGCACTCCGGGTGGATATACACTAGCCTAAAGGTATACTTTGGTGATGGATAACGAATTGAGTCCCCTTCCTAGTCGACTCCCCGTACTAACCAAGGCTAGGCTTGACTGCAACAATCCCCATTCATTCACTCATTCACCTCCTCTTTTCTTTCTCCTGCTTCTCCGGTCCCCTCCATACCGTCACGAGCATTCTAGCCCTACGCATCTCGATCTATAGACAGAAGAATACCAAAGCATCGCTTCTAGAACAAATCCGCAGCTAGTTCGTCCCACACCTCGATGACGAAGAGCGGGTGTGGGTGTCTTCTTGATTATCGTTTCTTAGCATCCTGGGTCAAACACCCTACATCAACGCACCGGAAACACCCCCACTGGGACTCATCTCCAGACTCTAGCAAGAAGAAAGTGTTTTTCCACTACGTTGTCTGCATGGCGATCTTATTGTGCAGATCGATCCGAAGCTATTTCAAGATCCCGGCCATTAGCTCCCCTGGTCGTGGATTTCTTTTGCTGGAAATATTCCCTCAGCCAGATCGGATCTGAACCTCAATGCCTCGACCGAGAAGACCCGGGGCCCCCGAGCCGAAACGAAGGTCGCGCAAGGGCTGCTGGTGAGGGTCTCCAAAGCGATCTTTTCCACTGCTGGATTTGACTAATCGTGCATGTTTCCAGGCCTTGTAAAGCACGCAAAGTGAAGTGGTTTGTGATACCTTCTCTTACTTAGTCCACAAAGTACTATCGTAAGCTGATCGCTTTACAGTGGTGAGGAAAAGCCGTCGTGTCTCAATTGCCAACGCCAAAATGAATTGTGTGACTACCGCATCAGACTGAACTGGGGAGGAAGAACCAGAAGAAAGTCATCGGTAGACTCTCCGATATCGCATTCGAGCAGTCCTTCAGGAACCTATGGCTCGTTCTCACTATCACCGGCGAATACCTATCAGTCCGACAATTTATCGTCCTCGCACTCACACAAAGCCACATCTCCAGAGTCCGAGAACACAGCACAATTTCCAGCCACAGAGGAATTGCAATGGGATGTCGAGCTTTCCGAAGAGATGGCAATAGGGACTCCGGCAGCTTATCCTAGAGGGCTACATGATATTCATGAATCTCCAATCTTTGGCCAGACTCTTTATAGCTCCAACCGTACAAATGGCAAGAACTCTGTAGACAGCATGAGGGCTCCGTCACCCCGACAGGATGGGACATCCCCATGGCCAGACCTGCCCCAAACCAGCACCGCGACCGTCTTTTCTGCCTCCGCTCCAACATCCCTGGAAACCATCATCTCTCATCCGTCTCCTGTGGAAACGAATTCCAGTATAGGTTCTTGGGCCACCTTGAGCTTCTCGCCTGTCACGGCTCTATCGCGCCCGATTTCGTTTCTCCGGCACACCTCCGAATCGCATCATGCGACACCCACAAACAATCGGATGTCCGATCATGGCATTGAGTTCAGCAGCTATTTTTCCGCGGCCAACGCAAAAGCCACTTATGACAACTACGCGGTTCAAGAGACATCGGGCCTCGGCAGCTCAGACTCACCATACGCAGAAGAATCAGCCATGTCGTCATTGGACGCGAGCGAAGGAGCCCAACCTCTAGAGGCACAGCCATCCGTTCGCTCGGAGAGCTACCTCACCAAGATCATGAACCGTCCAATAGCCTCGGACCGCGATTTCAATAGCGTGCAGATGCCTGGCTCAAGCACGCGCCTGCATCAGTATCCCAACACCTCCAGTCAAAGTATGGTCGCAACGGATGCCTCAAGCGCCGAGAGAAAATGGCAAGCCTATCTCACAAGCGTTACAGACAACTACGGCTTGGATCGCGGTCGTCCTGATCTGGATTTGAATAGGAATGATGATCATTCCGCTATTGATATCAACTATGCTCTTGACTTGATCAACGCACAGAGAATTACCCCCCCAGGGTCCACCCCTCGAGGCGGCAACTTGGAAGGCGTGGGAAATGACACCTTCGATTGCAGTAAATACATGTATTATGCTTCGCCTGTACCGATCAACATTCCACGCTATTTGTCTCCGCTGCCACCATCGCTGGTCAAAACACCAATCAATCTGATGTACTTTCATCATTTCCTGAACCATACGGCCAAGATGCTGGTCCCGCATGATTGTGACGACAATCCATTCATATCCGTACTGCCGACAAGTAAGTCTTTGAATTGTCTGAACTATTCAATTCTTTCGTCTGACTCCACCAAAAGTGGCGATTAGTGATTCCAATCTGCTCAATTTGACACTGGCATACTCAGCTAGCCATCGGGCTAGATACCTCGAGCACCCGGAGCCGGCGAATCGGATTGCGCATTGGGTGAGCAATGTCTTCCCAACTCTGCGCTTAGCTCTGGAGGATCCTCACGAAAAGGTCACCGATAACCACCTTGCTGCCGCTATAATGCTCCTGTCGTTGAAGATTGTCTCGCCCAGTACTTTTGAGGTCCCAATTCCATGGCAGAGCCACCTCAAACTTGCACGAGACTTGTTCCTTGCACGAAAGGAGCAGCTGGCTTACCCGGGAAACCTTGTGGGTGCATTTCTGACTCGCTGGTTGAGCTATCTTGACATTGTGGGAACATTGTCATGCCGCCACAGCGAACCGCCCTCGCTAAACTATGCATCCGTTCTCAGCGCATGCAGTGGTGTCGGAGAGTATGACGAGTTCCAGATCGACTGTTTCACCGGGTTCACGCCAAGGACAGGTCAGTTTCTCGCGCAAGTCGGGAGACTGACTCACCAGTGTGACAATGAACGGTTCGATGAGTCGGGCATCTTCAACCCAGACTGGAAACCGTCTCCTGCTGCAGTCATTGCCGGCGAAGAACTTCTGTCGGACATTGAGCTGTTGGAAACACACGCCCATGCCAACGGCACCCATTTCCATCTCGGTAATATGGACAGCCTTGCTATCGACAGGGCATTTCGATATGCCGGACTTCTACATCTCCATCGTCGTGTGCTGGACACATCGCCTCTCTCTGGGCAGGTCACACATGCCTCGGACGAGCTGCTGAAGGCAATGGTCGAGATTAGACACGGCGCCTCTGCCGAAGTGGGCGCGTTGTTCCCTCTGTTCACCGCTGGGTGTGAGACCACGGACCCTCATATTAGGGCAGATATTCAGGAGCGGTTCAAAATGATGGAAAGAACTGGAATGAAACAGGTGAGCTAACCGGATGATGTGCCGAGATGATGCACTAACTCTTACAACCATAGATCCAGAATGCGCGTAAGTTAATGCAGCGCTGCTGGGACGAGGACCTTCCGTGGGTTGCGCTGGCTGAAGGAGAATTTCTCGGATGATCGATCTGACTCTGTCCTGGTTATTATGTAAGGCTCAGCAAAGTACTCCTCGTGCTTTGGACGTACACTCTACGAGCACCACTGTTCATCTTCTCTATCTTTTTGAGGTTATGCATGAATTGACTATGCGCCTTTGGTGGCTGACTGGTTCCGCGTCGGAATTCTCTTGGTACATACATGTAACCGATTAAGGCTGTACTTCTATAGTTTCAAGGTGTCAAATGTTTCAAGTATGAAGGAGTATCACCTCCATCAGTATCGTTTCCAGCGTTCTTGTATGCCAGTTATTCTATTATCTTGCTCTGTTTGGGCTTACCCCAACATCACTCAAAGCTCTCTCGTCCCTTTAATGCGAATCTCTCTTCAAGTAACTAAACACTTATATCTGGGCTTTTCAATTATAGTATAAAAGCCTTCTTGGTAACCAATCTGGTCACCAATTACGTGCTCACTAAACTGTGCTATCTCTCGAACAAGAAGCAACTGCACTGCTCACCGTACTGGAAGCACACCACTCACTCAGGGCTCTTGTGCCAAAGAATCGCTTAAAATGGAAGGCTGCACCAAACAGCTCCACTTCTATTGCAGCCCGAAGGGGTATAGCGAGTTGGTGCTAGCGCTTCTACTCTCTATGGTGATCGTTCTCTGTTTACTTCTACATCGTCTTCTGTCATTGGCAGTTTCATGCTCGGCAGTTAATCGCTTCCCAGCCTCAGCTCACAGTGAGCTGGGCGTCATTCACTCCTCCATTCAAAGGATGGACCCGCCGCACCCGGATTTGCAGGCCACGTTCGAGCGGTCACAACACGAGCATGATACCTGTATCCTTGACAGTCGGCTGGACGACATCCATGTCCCCAGCCTTGTGCCGTTGCCTTGCCCACCGGTGATTCTGCCCAAGAGAGTCAACCATCCGAGCTCTGCTCTCGAAGCTCATGTTGACCGCGAGCTCACAGTCACTCCAGCCCCGGCTCACTTGGTGCGTGTTTCCATGCTGCGCAGCTCTGCAGTTAACATCCCCCGTGTGCTACAAGCTAACATGCCTGTATGTCTCTACAGGCACGTCCTTCTGCTGCTTCCGTCACCATGACCGCCACCGCCGCCACCACCGCATCGCAGCTCGTTCCGTGGGACGGAAAGATCAACTGGGCCCTGAATGGAGCCACCGTCTTCAAGGACTCGGAAGAGGAGCGCCGCGCAAGGGTCAACCTGTCCAACACCTTCAACCGGGAGTCGCACTCAAAACTCTGGGTGTTCCAGTTCGGCCTGCGCTACATCCCCGCCGACTTCGAGCACAACGTGTACCGCGCCATCAAGGTCGACAGCCTGCCGTCCGGGACCGGGCTCTCGCAGATCCTACCCCTGATCCCGGGGGAGATCCTCTCCGCCCGCCTGCTCGACACCCGCACTATCACCGGGTCCAAGACCGCCTTCGTCACCTTCGTGCACCAGGCCGACGCAGTGGGCTTCCTGCACTCGACAAAAGGTGTCCTTCAACTGAAATCCGGACAGGCCCAGGTCGCGCCGATCCCTACCCCCAGCTACCCCATCAGCGCGGACATGGAGAAGTTGATCCACGAGAAGGGATACACCCGGTGCATCCGCATCACCAACCTCCGGGAGTCGCTGAAGGGGGATATCTGCCGTGCCTTGAGCAACGCGTATCTGGTTCCGCAGATTGAGAGCATCCGTGAGGGGCCGGGGGCCGGTGAGAGCCAGCTGCGCTTCTGCTCCATCAAGGCGGCGGCGGCGGCTTATGTTCTTCTCAGAGGCCATGCCAAGTTCGATGAGTGCCAGTGGGAGTTTGTCAAGGCTGTTCGTCCTAAGAACCCTCGGATTGGGATCTGGGACTAGAAGGGAGGGGGTACTGCTGCATGTATTCTGAGGAGCTGTGCTTGTGACGAGGGAAGTTGAGCAACCGTCCAAGGCTTCGCAGGGGAGGAGAGGGCTGCTAGGATTTAGCGTGTATTTCAGATCCGGACAATACAACTTCGCTTGATGATGAGCAGGACCTTTAGTGCCGTAGACGGTCAGGGAGATGGACAGCTCAGACCGGTAAGAGGGAGATGATGTTTCTCCTACTATCTGACATCCCCTCTTTTCCTCCGGATTTAGCACTGCCTAGGCACGAAAGAAGCATCAGGGCCGCCATGAGCGAAGATGGCTAGCCCGACAGCGGCTGCCTCGATTATGAAGCCGCGGATATAACCCTTATCATAGTCTCTCTCATACAGAGGCACACCCCCTTACGACCACCCTCAGCAATGGAGCAGAACGCATAGCTGCCGTAATGAATCTCACCCAAAGCAGCCCGAAACCAGACCGATTCTACGAGACTAATTCAAAGGCAGATCTGCCCTCTCTATCCTGTACCCTCTATCCTCTTTACCCCTCCTCTCCCCCCCCTCCCCCCTCGAACCCCACAATCTACAACCCATCGTAAACCTCACCCCTACCCCACCGAATACAAATTCACAATATCCTGATCCTTCCTCGGCCCCTTGACCACATGCCGACTCGCCCAGCTAACCACCTCCCCACTCTCCGCCCGCACCCGGAACGCATACGCCGTGCGATACATATCCTTGATGCAGAGATGATTGCCCCTGGCCGTGACGACCACCGTCGCCTCCGCCTCGGACTTGGACGTTGACAGTAGTTCCGGCGGTGCAGGAGGCGTCACGTAAGTCTCGTCGTTACTGCTGCCGCTGCCGCTGCCGCTGCCGGTGTTGGCAGCATCCGCACCGTCAACCGCCACCTCAAACTCCACCTCATGGAACAGGTAATCGGCTTCGGGGTGCGTGGCTGCGTCCTTGGTGACCTTGACAAACCATACGCTAATCCGGCCTTCCGGGCTGAGACGCCAGATGTAGGATTTCGTCCAGCGGAGGTTTGGGCCGAGGGTTGCGGGGAGGGAGCCGGATTCGGTGTAGAGGGTTTGGGTTTGGGGGTCTTCGGTGGGTGTAGAGGTAGAAGGCGGGGCTGGGAGGGGTTGGAAGGAGGCTTCGCCGTGGAGGTCGCCGTGGAGGTCGAGGGGATTGTCGCTTTGGAGGGTGCGGCGGAGGGTCCAGGTGGGCGTGCGGGCGAGCGAGGCGAAGAGCGTAGGGAGGAGGCGCGGGGAGATCTTGGTGGTTGGCATTTTTGTTGTGCTGTGTAGATGGATATTGGAGCTGGAGGTGAGATGGTGGAGTTTAGGTCATAAGGTCATTGTTGCGATGGTGGTTCTTGGGTTAGGAGGAGGAGAAAAAGGAGGATTGAATTGAGATGATGATGCCAGGAGTCAATTCCGGTGGGCCGTGCGCTGCTCCGCTCCACCCGCCCACTCTCCATCTCCATCATCTCCGACTCCACCCTGCAACAACAACAACACCCATACAGATTCCCGGCCTCACTTCCTAGCGTCGGAGATCTGTTGATATGTCCGGTGAGAATTGAGAATTATTCGTCAACAACGCTACTTTTTCATTATTTGACACTGATCTTTACAGGGGTCAAAGTTACTGCACCGTTGGTTCAAAACGGGTTGAGCCATGATGAGCCATGTTGATTCATGACTGATGTCCATAATTCTCGGCTTGGCATCGCTCCTGCCCTCTCTATATGATGGTTGTCTTCCGCAGTCTGAAGATGGCTTTTCTCATCATCAAACACGTCCGCATCGAACTTGCCCCTAGCAGGAATGGCTGAGAAACGTCTTCCGGAAGACGCACCCTGGCCCGAGACCAACAGCGCGTCTGCTGTCGAGATCAATGCCGCCCCGGAGGACGATACCAGTCATGGTCCCGACTTTGGGCTGACCGGCCTACCGTTGGCTCTGGTCATCCTTGGCCTTGGTCTCGCTATCTTCCTCATGTCGTTGGACTCGTCGATCATTGCAACTGCCATCCCCCGCATCACATCCCAGTTCAACAGCACCGGGGACATAGGCTGGTATGGAAGTGCATACTCCTTCGCCATGTGCGCTCTGCAGCCCATTGCCGGCAAGCTGTTTGCAAGCTTTTCCATGAAGGTAAGTCCACTGAATACCCAATGACAGAGCCCCACTGACCTGTGCAGTGGATGTTCCTTGGGTGTTTGGCCGTGTTTGAGCTTGGTTCACTGCTGTGCGCCCTTGCTGTGAACAGTCCAATGCTCATTATCGGGCGCGCGATCGCCGGAGCTGGGGCAGCCGGATGCTTCACGGGAGCCTTCTGCATCGTCGCGGCTGCTCTCCCGCTTGCCAAGCGCCCCTTCTACGTGGGAATCCTCCAGTCGACGTTCGGCATCGCGACCATCATCGGACCCATCCTAGGCGGTGCCTTCACGCAGCACGCGACATGGCGGTGGTGTTTCTGGATCAACCTACCCATTGGCGCCATCACGATCATGGCCCTGGTCTTCTTCTTCAAGCCGCCCCCGCGTGACTCCTCTACAACTTCTCCTGTCCTGCATCGGCTGAAGAGCTTGGATCTGTTCGGTGCTGTGCTCTTCGCCCCGTCCGTGATCATGATACTCCTGGCTCTCCAGTGGGGCGGAATTTCCTACGCGTGGAAGAGCGCCACCATCATCGGACTCTTCATCGGCGGCGCAGGACTCGGCCTCATCTTCGCCGTCTGGCAGGTCTACAAGGGCGACGCGGCCATGATCCCGCCGCGCCTGATGACAGAACGCACCATGCTCTTCTGCTGCCTCGGAGAATTCTGCGCCATGGGCGCCGTCTACATCTCGATCTACTATCTTCCCGAATGGTTCCAAGTCATCGAGGGCGCGTCCCCGACCAAGTCAGGCCTGATGTATCTGCCCCTGGCGCTGTCGGACGTGCTCTCCGCCACGCTCACGGGCGCCTCCCTCAAGTACCTGGGGTACCCGAACCCCTACCTGCTGCTCGGCACGGCGCTGATGAGCATCGCCACGGGCCTCTTCTCGACCTTCACCCTCACCACCCCGCACGAGCACTGGATCCCCTTCCAGGTCCTCCAGGGCCTCGGCGCCGGCATGACCCTGTCCATGCCCTACGTCGCCACGCAGACCGTCCTCGACCACGCCGACATCCCCGTCGGCACCTCCCTGCTCCAGTGCTTCCAGTTCTTCGGTGCCGCCGTCAACCTCGCCATCGCCGAGGCCCTCTTCGACAACAAGCTGGTCACGGGTCTGGGGGATCTCGGGCTGCCCGCTGCGGAAGTCGAGCGCATTGTCAGCGCCGGATCTGCGGAAGTGCGCAGCGTGGTTCCCTATAGTGATCTGCCCGGCGTGCTGCATGCCTACAACCACGCGCTCACCACCACCTTCTACGTCGCTGCGAGCTTTGCCGCTCTGGCCTTTCTGCTCTCGCTGGGCGTCCGGTGGAGGAGTGTCAAGCCGCCGAAATCCAAAGCTGTTGCTGCTGCTGCGAATGCGGATGCGGATGTGGAGGCTAGGTGATTCGGTTTTGTTGGTGTGGTTCTGTGGTATAGACTTTGCTTCCAGATGTGTATTTCGGTATTTAGAATTATATATATCGTTTAATGATTGTATACTAATGAGAATCTACTGGAATCCGCGAGAGGAAGTAATGACATTTAGGTGGTATTACTCAAAGATTTCCCATGCTTGGTCAAGCTCGTACGGTATATTCCCGGGTCAGATTGTATGTTACGCAGCATCACGGTTAGATCAATCCCCCCGTACCTCACTTGCCCACATTCGGTCTTGTTCAGTGAAACAAGCTAATCACCAGCAATCGCATCTAGAGCTTCCTGCACAGGTGGAATACAAAACACATGTACAAGGCAAGTGCCAGGAAATTAGAGGGTGGTATTCAGTATTCGCATTATGAAGAAGGCTTTCGAGGGAGTCCAGAAAGCGAATCTGAGATCATGAATTGCGTTCCCTCTACTATACCGTAGGGGAGGGCGAAGAAAGGCACTCGCAACAGCATGTGCACAGAGACCTGAAGACCTTGATCCATTATGTGAACCCCAGTTCTAGCGAGGGATGGCTATAGGAGTCCAAAGGCGGAGAGACCCCCCTCTTAAAATTCAGCGAGGGAGAGCATTTAAGATACTTTGATACAGTACAACAGTACTTTCAGGTGATCTGATCTGCGATCGGAGAGAAACTGCCCAGTGGGTTTTCCTATGGTGAATCGCCGATAAAGGTTCGAAATGGAGTAACTGTGCATCTGAGCAGGTCTGTCCCACATCACCTTTTGGCTGCTCTGCGTCCTATCAGCAAACATGCCAACAAACGGATCACGTCCGATCATTGATATCCAAGCTCAGGATATCATCCTCGAGACTCAGAATGCCCATCGCCCAATTCGCGTTCGGCCGCTTGCTGACCGTGATGAACCGGCGTTCGGAGCTGTTGTACGGGCCGCCGCCGCCGCCGCCGCCGCCGCTCTCCTCCTCAGGGGGCGGGGTCCACATGGACACCGGCTTGTTGAGAGTCCTATCGCGACGGGTGTACGGCGGCCCGCGGCCCTGCGCGGCGGCGACGACCCACGCATTCTCGCAGCCGCGCGCGATCGTAGCCGAGGTGCGCCAGCCGCTCAGCCGGTTGAGGTCCAGCAGCTCGGTGACCAGCCATTCGCGCTGCGCGGGGTCTGTGTACTGGACTCCCGCAAAAAACAGCGGCACCGTGATCTCGATCAAGCACGAGCCCAGCGTCGGGCTCAGGCTGCCGGCCTCGAGGTGGAAGGACTGCGGGTAGTAGACACCCGCGGCGATGCGGCCGATGATCTGCGCGTATTCCGCCGTGGTGGCGGCGGCCACGCCCGCGGCGACCATCATCGCCGGCGGCATGCAGGGGTGTAGCCGGTGCAGGAGGATCCGCCCCGTGTAGTAGAAGCACCAGATCGTGGCGATCGTGTGCGTCCGGTACTGCAGAGCGGGGCCGAAGGGGGTCGAGATCGGCGGCACCGAGTCCGCGGGTAAAGGCATGAAGTACGGTCCTAGGGCCGGCAGGAATGCGTCGAACGCCGCCACCATACTCTCCCATTCCTTCTCGGCGTCGTGGTACGAGGTATCCTCTTCTTCCTCTTCGAGAGGCTGATGGTGGTAGTGCTGGGATTCCCGGGTGTTGAGGAACACGGCGGGGGCGCGGCGTGGGCCGCTGGACGGTGCCATGCCGTACATGGGCGGGGCGTTTGGGCCGGGGCCGGCGGGTGGACCACCAGGCCGAGGAGGAGGTGGTCCTCGGCCTGGTGGTCCGGGTGGTCCTCTGGCGAACCGGGCCATAAATTTGCCCAGATTGGCATCCGGGCGCCACTCCATGCCTGTAGTCTTAGCCGTTCTCAGTTTGCGTTTCCTGTCACGATAGCCAAATTCTGCCAAGCGACCTAGAAGTAGCCATAGGTGGTCTGCAGACCCGTAGATAGCGTCCATCCGGCCCATACCCGCGCGGGGAGGGCATTGACCCCATTGGGAGTATGGCATGCTGGGTTGCGGTCAGTGTCGTAGCTCGAGATAAGTGAGGGGGGGGGTCTTATGACTTACAACAAAGGGCAGCCGCTGATGATACTTTGCATGACATCTTGTTTGCAGTACCACCAGTACAGGTCACACTGGATTCGATAGTTCTCGATATCTTTCCGTGTGAAGTGCTTGTACAGACGAGGGTTCCCATTCTCATCGTTGACCTGCCCGAATTCGTCGTAGTTCACGGCTCGTCCAAGTAGAGTCCCGATAAACTGCTCGTTGATGCTACTTTCTTTCTCCGCGAAAGGGTCGTCGTCCGACGTAGGATCTCCGAAGAGGTAGCTGTCTGTGAGGGTCATGACCGGCGGCTGCATCTGCTGTCGCTGAGCCCATACTCTCCGTCGCTGGGCGCGGAGCCCACGAGTCATGCCGGCAAAATCAATCTCACGCACCAATTGCGCCGACCCTGCCACGTGACTATTCCATTTCGAGTGATCAGCACCCATCACCTCGTAATATCCTAGAAGCAGGGTAGCAGCCAGGGTAGTGATCTGCTTGCGGCGCGTGGGAAGCCCGACAGCCACACCGACTTTTCTCAGAGCGTAGTGATAATGCTTCAACGAGACCGTCGGAGGTGCTTGTTGGAGGAAGGAGATATGTAAACTGCTCAAGGCGAGGATAGCTTGCAGCAAGACTTGACTCTCGAGAGCCTTGAGGGGGAGGGTATATGTCCATAGGCCCTGCTGGGCGGTTGGTACGGGGGCGCCAAGCATGGTGGATGGGTCGATCGGATGACGCTCGAAGACAGATAGCGTCGGTCCGGTGGAATGGATGAAATGCAAGAAGATCCGGGCCGTCTTTGGATTGTTCAAGGGTGATGAGCCGTATGTGGGGATGTACGAGCCGAGTACATTTGGCTCATTCAAATATGTAGTGAAAGAACGCAGCTGCCGCTCGTCGCGATTGGCAGAAGCCATAATAAGGCTAAGCTGGTTGTAATTCTGCACAGAGATCTGGTCTTCCCGTTCCTCCTCTGATTCACCACTGTAGTAGTCATCCTCACCGTCATCTTCCATATAACCTCCATACGGCGATGTTGATGACTGCGAGAGAGACACACGTGCAGACGAAGCTGTTCTGACTTGGTCTTGCAGTAGATTCACACTAGACGGTGCGGCGTTCGGCAGCCACGGGCCTCCTTGAGGATATGAGACTGCGTCCGACCATGAGTAGCCCGTCCCCAGATCAGTCGACACCTGCCGTCTTTGGTGATCAAGGAACGCGAGGGTGTCCGGTGGTGTGTAGCTTTCGGACGAGTTCTCCGAACTCGAAGGAAGGTGGACCTGGCCTGACACTGCTTGCTGAGGAAGAGTCCTGTTGATCCCAGGAGCCTCATTCAGCGAAGAGGTAGCGGTGGGATTCCGGGTCTCGATATCGGGTGGCAAAGGCAGCTTTGGAGCTATAGCAGGGTGGTCTGGTCTGTCCTTTCTTTGCTGAGACACCGAGTGCTCACTGGGGACTGGTGCTGACTGTGTCTGCACGCTGAAGGCCGGCTGCTGGCCGAACCCGGGACCTGAGATGCCCAATGGGTTCTTGAAAATCAGGCGGGGCCCGTAGCCTTGACACTCGCGTTTTGATTTCACGCAGTTATTGCATGTCGGCTTTTCTTCGCCGCACTTGATGCGACGTTTGCGGCAAGCTATTAAGCGATGTTAATGCATGGGACGTGATCTACGGCCAGTTGCACTCACTTAAACATCCTGTTTTGGTACGCTTTTTGGCCATTCTTTGTGATGTTACATTGTTCGATCCCGCCTCCGCAGGGTCCAGTTGGGCGCCGTCTGCGACGTCAGGACCCTGCGCTGTGCCTGGCCCACTGATAGACAGATCTGGCGGAGACTGCCGGGCACGGTTGGTGCTTTCCATGGCGATGCAAAGTCGAAAGCGAGACCAATTCCATAATCATCGCCAGCAGAGAGGAGACCGACCTGGCTTGACACAGACAACGCGCACTATTACTTCCGAATGGAATTCGCACGACTTCTGTAGCATCAAGCTTGAATGGAGTTAATTGCAGACCGCGGTGGAGGTCGTCAAAGAGGTGAAATTCTGATTGGCCTGGAAATATGTGACGGGTCGGTATCGGTGCCTCAGGTATACGCAGTCATGCCGTGCTTTGCTCTGTCACCCCAAGGGCTGCTACATGTGCAGAGAGATTGCTCAAGGTGAAATTATGACAGATAATTTGAGTAACTGGGGCAATGGGTCCTACTTATCATATCTAAGGTTTTTTTTTATTTTTTCCCCAAGCATATGGCCTGATCACTGACCTGCTCGGTAGAAAGTCTAGACAATATCCACAATCTGATTGATCCGAGGCACTTCTTTGGTAGCAGTCTTCAAGATCCTATCACTAGCAGCCCACAACTACTCCATCTAGATCTGACAGATGGTCTCAGACGTGTATATGCATCAAACTCTAAAATCACAAATCCATCAATTAGCCACGAGTAATTAGACAAATCACCGTAGTGCCCGAGACACTTCTCGAAAGCCTGATGGAAGCGACAAAACAAACAAGACAAACACAGCACTCACCGCCTCTGCGACGGGCGGCAGAACACCCCGAGGACTGATCGTCTCCGCCTTTTTTTGCCAGAAAATTTTAGTGATGCACGGCCGGGCAGAACAATAACCAACCATTTTCCAGAGGCAACATATCGCAAGCATGTTCGCTGTACCGGGTTGGTCGCTCGAGAACTCTGCTCTCAAGCAGCAGAGTGAGCCTGCTCCTGAAAAGACAAATGACAAATCATCCAAGCCGAACCCTAAAGACCGAAAGCGCAAGCGGGAGGATAATGTCACCAAGGGAAATGTGGACGCTATGTTCCGCCGGCACATTGAGGGGGAGAAGATCACCCCCTGGGCCAGGAAGAAGGCCGAAAAGGAGGCTATGATGAAGGGCGAGAAGAAGCAGGACCAGGCCAAACCCAAGACCGTCGAAGCGGACGCACCGCGACCAACCGACGCCGCCGCCGCCGCCGAGGAGGGCGAGAAGCCCAAGAGCAAGAGACAAAGGAAGAACAAGAATAAGAACAAAAACACGGAGGAGAAGCAAGACCATCCGCAGGGTGATGTCGCCAAGGAATCTGCCACTACCACCGAATCGATGCCCGTGGCGCCGCCGGAGACGAAAGCCATCCTGACCCCTCTGCAGCAGGCCATGCGACAGAAGCTAATCTCCTCCCGATTCCGCCATCTAAACGAGACCCTCTACACCACGCCCTCGAGCAAGGCCTTTGAGCTTTTCACTTCGAACCCCGAACTGTTCGACGAGTACCACGCCGGCTTTGCGCGCCAGGTCAAGGAGTCCTGGCCCTCGAACCCTGTGGATGGCTACATCAAGGCTATGCGCGTCCGTGGCAGCGCTCATGCGCCCCGGAGGGGCAAACCGGACAACAACAAGGGACGACCCTCAGCTGCCCCGCTGCCCCGACGTCCGAACGGCCTGTGTACCGTGGCCGACTTGGGCTGCGGTGATGCTCAGCTCGCGCGCGCGCTGCTGCCCTCTTCCAAGAAGCTGAACCTCAAACTACTCAGCTACGATCTGCACGCCCCGAAGGACTCCCCGATCACCAAGGCCGACATATCCAATCTGCCCCTGGAGGATGGATCCGTCGACGTGGCGGTCTTCTGTCTCAGTCTGATGGGCACCAACTGGGTGTCGTTCGTGGAAGAGGCGTGGCGGGTGCTCCGCAGCGACGGCAAGGGCGAATGCTGGGTCAGTGAAGTGAAGAGCCGATTCGGCAAGGTTACCCGCAAGAAGGCGCAAATCGGCGCCAAGAAGCCGCTCAGCAAGGCGGAGCAGAAGAAGCTCAAGAAGAAGCAGTCGGCGGATAACGCGGACTCGGATGTCTCTGACAACGAGATCTATGCGGAGGACGCTCGCCCCGCCAACAACGATGATGAGACGGATATCTCGGCCTTCGTGGAGGTCTTCCGGACGCGAGGCTTCATTCTCAAGCAGGAGACTCTTGATAAGTCGAACAAGATGTTTGTCAAGATGGAGTTTGTGAAGGCCGGTGGCGCTCCCACTAAGGGCAAACATGCCGGTTCCGCCGCCTCCGGCGCTGGTGCTGGTGGCCCTGGCAAGAAGCGGTTCATCGACCGATCGTCCGATAAGGGCATGTCCGCTGCTGAAGAAGCGGCTGTTCTTAAGCCATGCGTCTACAAGATCCGGTAGTCCTGGCGTAAGGTGCTTGAATAGTGTATAAGAAAAAAGTAATTGAGTTTAATCATGATCAAGCGAGCCGTTACTGTAATATATGCATCTACTAGTACTAGTACACAAGTGCAGTCTTCAGCATCGTAGCCGTGATCCGAGCCTCGATTACGAGCTTTTAAGCCGTTGTATACCTTCCTCCTTCTTCGGTTACTTCTGCGTGGACCTTATGTATAAAACATTCAGCTAGCTACAGATGAAACCCTAGTATGTATTACAGTAGTTGATATATCCAGCATCCTCTTCCACCCCCGCATAACGAATCCACACGCAAAGAGCACCGATTAAAAAGAGTCCCTAATAAGTCGTACGCCATCTCCTGTCCTATACATCGTCCCATCATCAGAGTCATCATAGTCAATGAGCATCCTTCTGCCTCACCCCAAGCTGGAGCATATCAAACCCCCACTGCTGCATCTTGAACCGATCAAGCACTCCACAGAGATCCAGAAACACCTTCGGACCCAGCATCTGCCCAGCAATGCCCTGCCATCGCACCTGCTCATGGCTGAACTCGTCATACTCCGTAAGCAGTATCAGCCCACTGCAACCCTGGCAAGCCGCATCGACCGAGTCAACGATTGTGACTGCTTCCAGAGATGCGTCCGCAAGACGTAACATACTCCGCAGCTGATCACCCGGGATCCGAGGATCGAAGACCGTCACTTGCACCCCAATCCTCACCAAGTCGCGCGCCAACTCTATTGCCGTGGACGACCGATCCCGAATCGCACAATTCTTGCCCCCCGCGAAACCCAAGATCGCCACCCGATGGTCCTTCAGCTCCCCCGTGAACCGCTCCGTGACCCGCTTCGCGGTGCGGCTGTGATAGAACTCGTTCATCTGGAGCACCGCCCTCCAATACTCAGCGACGGGGTGCAAGCCCAGCTCTCTTGCAAGATGGATCAGGCACAGGATCTCCGTATGGGAGTTTGTACCGCCCCCAAACCCCAGCCCTACTCGTGGTGGCAGCCCCAGTGTCTGGGTGATATGGGCGATGTTGGCGTTGGTGGACTCGCAGATCGCGCTCAGGGACTGGACGTTGCTGATCTGCTGCGCGAGGCAGGCGTTGGCCGCGAGCTTGCTCAGCTCGGACGACCAGGCGTCCATGGTGATTAGTCGCTCTTCGGGAACCCAGGGCAGGTAGAGGCGCTTTAGCGCGGTGATGGCCTCGACGGACATGTCCTCGGAGAAGATGTGGCCGATCAGGACGCGAGGCGGGTAGAGCAGGTCGCGGACGGCCGTGCCGGGGATCAGAAAGTCCGGGTTCGATAGGACGTCGAAGGTGGCTGTTGGGGATGCGGTTTTGCGTAGCTATATATTGTCATCATGAAGTTGGGGGTGTCAGTCTCCGCACTAGGTAGCAGTTTGGGGCAGTGCTTCAGTGTGTTATTTGTTTACTGACAGCTTTTTTGATGCGCTGGACGATGCCACACGGCGCTGTGCTTCTCTGCACGATGATCTTGTGCCCGGCCGATACTTGGGCGATCGCTTGGATTGCGGCCTCAAGCGGCGCGAGGTTGATTCCTTCTTTGGTCTCCGACTGCAGTCCAATTGTCAGTACTTGGTCCTTTTTCTTGTGACATCGTCTGTTGGTCTCACCGATGCATCTGAAGAACATTCCACACAAAGAAAGACTAGATCTGCGGAAACCACTCCCGCATGGATATTGGTGGAAAAGGCGAGGTTGGCCAACTTCCTTTGTCGTCGCGTTCTTTCAGCATCATTGTTTTGGCTCAAATCATTCACCTTCGCTTCTTCCGGGAGGCTGGATGCCTCCATCGCAAACCCGGGAGGTTCATCGAAGAGCAAATCCTCTAGCCCCGGCTCAATGATAGGAGGACGATCCGATTTCCAAGCCTCAATGAGACTCGCATCTCGATCGACAACACAGAATTGGACGTGAGGGTTCTGCGACGCCAGGATGATGGCAGTCAATGCTCCTTTTGAACATGGGTAAGCTCTTTGAGTCCCTCAGGACAAAAGACTATATGTTACTTTGCACTCACCCACATGGCCCGCCCCAATGATACATGCACTACGCACGTTCTCGATCTTCGTACTCGGTAGCGGTCGCAGCTCGATTCCCTCTACACTATCGGAGTACGTGTGGCCCTTGACAACGACATGAGGACTTCGAGGACTCCCACCACTCGCGGCTTCGATGGCCTTATACCGACGTCGCGAAAGGAACAGAGTCAGACCCGCCAAAACAAGTAGCAGAGGAAAGAACGGCATTGCTTTGCAACGATATACTCCTTAAAAAACCCTGAACCCACAGTTGACGACTTACCAAAACCCCTCTTCCCCGTCTATCGCACAGGATGCATACACAAAACGAAAAACCAAAGAAAAAAAGAGGGAAAGGGAAACCAGACGGACTTTGAACCCCTCTCCCTCACTCCCCGGCGATATGCGGGTTGTGTGTGAGACCCGATCAAAGGGCGGTCTGGTCGCAACGTTGAACTGGCCACCTCATAGCGAACTACCAATTATTCTAAAAATATGGACATGTTATTGGGCGTGGTCTTGTCGAGCTTGACTACGTGTTCGCAGCCTTGGTCTGCTTGAATCCACATTGAGGCGACGCTAAGGAGGTCTGATATGCAACTCAATTGGAACAGCATGGGTGGTCCCATCTGTCGCGTCAACAGCCGATGCAAGTTTTGTTTTCCATCAACAGCCTCACTCTTTGAATTTTGGGGTCTAAAAGGAAGAGGAATCTATGCAATCGCTATCAGAAATGAGAAGAGCGAGGAGGCAACATGCTGAGGTTGTTTAAATATCTGTCTCATGTTGACCTGCCTGCATGAGTCCAACGGTCGCCCAAAGGCTAGTGCTAGTGATTGTTTTGGCTGATCCTTTGAGGCGTACCCACAGATCTACCTTATGCATTAACTTTTGCTGGCGACCAACACCATCAGTCCCTCCCCAGGCAGCAGCAGCCTGCACTCATGCATCAAGCACAAGCTACAGTTCGTTCTTCAATTGACAAACAAACAGAACAAACAGAATGATGATGGATGTCCCTGTCACATGCCCCCAGAGGCGTGGCGCTGTGCGCACGAGCCACATAGCCATGTGACGTCACCGGTCGCGGCCCTCATCCCCCATCCTCAATGACATTGATATCAGAACGATCTGCACTCCCGCGGCTTCCAGAACCTGGACCCTGTCATACGGTTGGATGGAGCATTGACAGCGCCGGCTTGAGCTCATCTGCGCCAGATCCACAGACGTCATTGCATGCGTCAGCCGTAGTCTGTCAAGTATAAAACTTCTTACTCGCCTCACAAGCTCGAAATCAAAACACTAGCTCTATACAACTTCATCCTCAAGCACCGTCATAACTCCTACTATACCACTCCCATTCCACTAAAAACAAACCAACCCACACATCCGCAAAATGGACTCCGTCAACAACGCCGTCGGCCGCCCCAGCCAGCCCCGCCGGCACACCGAAGAACAACAGCGCCACATCTACAACAACCTGCCGGAGGAAGAGCGCAAGAAGCAGACCTATGCCGAGTGGGTGCAGGAGGTCTACAACGACCAGTACGAGAAATGGATGCCCTGGCTGGAAGACCAGTACCTCAAGTGGTTCGGCAAGGGGGATAACAAGGCCTCGTATGTCACGAAAGGTAAGTCCGCCATCCCTCTCTATCACAACCAGGCCGGCCGAAACACAACTAACCTTACCCATCATGGCAGACAACCTAAACAAGACCAAGGTCACGGGCGTCAAGCAGGTCGATCAGATCCAGGACGACGTGCACAACCTCGTGGGTAACCAGCTGGGCGAGAACGGGCTGCTGTCGCCGGTGGGCAACGCCGCCTCGAAGGAAGGCATCAATCGCGCCGAGCGGAAGGGGAAGGATGAGAATGGGTCGTATGGCGGTCCGTTGGGGGGTGTCACGGACTCCGTCGTCGAGGGCTCCAAGAGTGCCGGCCAGGGACTGTACTCGGGCGTCCAGTCGGCGGGCTCTTCGCTGGCCGCTGGCACCAAGAGTGTCGCTGGTGCTATCCCCGGTGTGCAGCGGTAGAGTGTGGAATTCGTCGGTTTACACCATTGTTGTATCTTATGAGTTATGAGTTATGAATATGCTATTTTATTGTTTTGATTGTACTTTCCGGCCTATAAACCGTATTCTCTGAATATGTCTCCGTGTAACCCACCTCGATATTGCAGTGTTCATCTGGGGTGGTCTAACAATGGCGGTCTTCCATTCTTAATATCGATAAAAAACCTCTAAATATCTCACAGAGTCAAGACACCTGCTATCTGATAGAAAATTTAAATGCAATTCGGTGCACGTCCACACCCAAAGTGTGGTATACAACCATAACCCACAATCTATATACATTCTGACCGAAACCAAAACAGCCACAATGATCAAACCCCGCAGAATCCCCCCTCTCCAAGAATCAGCTTCATAGAAATTTCAAACAAAACTATAACCACTCTGAGTATTCGCATACACAAACTCCGGACGAGCATGAAAATAAAGCAGTAAACCCATCAGCGCCCGTAGCGCTTCCCTCCGTTCCTCCGGATCCCGCAGATTGTACGCTTTCGTCCGCTCCACCCTGACCTTGCCCGAGAAGTGCGGAGGCATTCCGAGCCGCTGCGCTTCGTGGATCGGCATGGTGGCCTTGACGAACCGGAGGTCCCACCCCTGCTGGCTCAGGACGTACGCGTTCTGGGCGTCGAGGTCCTCGGTTTCGAGCTTCGTGTTCATCCAGGCTTGGAGGAGGAGCGGGGGGATCTCGTAGCGGGCGATGCCTTCTCGGCCGCGCTTGTTGTTACACTGGGAGAATTTTGAGTTAGATTACTGCTGGTTGAAGGGAGGGAGAAAAAAGCTTACCACGCAAATCGCGAGAGGCGGAGTCTCGAGTCCATCGTTGACGTATTTCCATCGTGTGATGTAGTAGGCGAAATAGGCGCCTTCCTTGGCACGGGCGTGCTCGCGCGAGAGAGGCAAGTAGCAGTCGCCTAGGAAGGTGCTGTAGTTCGGGGTTTCTTGGAGTCAGCTTTTTGTTGATGGGGTAAGCAGGGCTTGATACAGCACTACCCTTGGGATAGGGGGGCTGGGTGGAACGTACACGTCTCCATTTCGATCAGATGGGAAGTCTTCGACGAGTTTCAGCATAAACCAGAACATGTCCGCGTCGGTTTGATCGCGGTACAGGTCACTGCGGACCGCCTTGAAGAAATCGGACAGCTTGATTTTCCCAGGGGATCGCTCCGGGTCCTCTACAGGTGGGATCTGCCATTGGGCTAGGCGACGTCGGAATTCTGGGTAGAACGAGATATGGGTTAGCTTTGTTCTAGGCAGATGCATGTCGAGTGCCGTTGTGATGTCGAGGGTGTAGGATTTGCGTACCAGGATCATCATCCGATGGCAAGAACTTCGCATCAATGATGGCCTCGAAGGGAACCTCTTCATGGACATCCACCTCGGCGTTGACAATGATTGGGCCCTCCTTGTACGGGAGGCTTTGGTAAATCAATTGCTCGACAGCGAAGCTGGTGCCACTATTTTCACTGCCTGCGTGGGTTTCACTTTCGATTTGCGACTTGCGCTGGTAGATTTGCGGGGCCTCTGGGGCACTGCTGCCACTGACAAAACCCAACGCCGCTTGTTTGGAGACCAGCCGTAGTCGAACTCCCACCTTGAAGCTGTAACGTTCTGGCTTGGGCTTTGATTTGGAGACTTTTGCTGGCTTGCGTTCCTCTAGAACTTGGAAGATCTCACGGCCCACTGGGCCCTTCGAGCGGAGCTGATACCTGTGGCCGCTTGCTGCGCCTGTCTGGGAATGGGTTTGGCGTTGCGCTGACATCGGTGACAACTTGACTCTAGGAGCTAATACGGGTTGTATTGCGAACAATGATTGAGACGGATAATTTCTATGATGAATAGTGATCAATGTATCTACCTACAGGAAACAGAGCAGCAGCCGGATGGCGGCTTCGTATGATTTAAAGGGGCGGACATTTTCTCTATAGACGTTGAGAACAAAGACCATTGAGGACAAGTAGACAATCGAATTCTTTCACACTTTTCATCCGTTTAGCTGTCTCGAAGGGCTTTGTTGCTCACGGGGAAGTATGAACAAAGGCTGCGAACTGGGAATTCGACGCCACATGGAGAACGAACAATGGGGGCTTAGAAGTACCTTGTTAGGGCTTGCGTACTTTGTCAAAGAAAGGTCTGCAAAAGGATCCAGCGCAAGTTTCATGGCCACGGGTTGTAGGATGTGTGGCTAGCTAACAGTCTTGGTAGGTGAGTCGAAAGTAGAAGCAAGGCTGGTCTTACCACGAAATAGGGGGGTTGTTGCCTATTGAATGCGCGTTAGAAATGAGAGACTTCCCCAAGCATTCGGATGGAATAGATCTCCAACCGTCACCCTTAACCATAAGGTGTACGTAGTGGAAGCGGCGCGTGGACTAGACCAACTCCCCTTCGGCCTGAAAAGAGAGTTGCCTTAGCAGAAAGCATATGAAGGTATATTTGTGTCCCAGTGACTTAATGTTCGAGTCAATGTAAATGAGATCGGTTCAAACGTTATCGTATCCAGACCTTCCGCTGATACTTTACCGAAACAAGTCTCACGGCTCATTCCAGCCTCCTATCCTCTGAATTGACTTTGAAGTATCCCCACGATAAGAGTATTCACTATGCTTGACGCAGTTGTGATGCAGCACGTGTGTCGTTGTATGAGGTCTGCTGAACGCAAGAGTAGGAGTGGCGGACTGCTGAACATGCACATATAAGTGAAGTAGATCTTGACATGGTTTGATCACGAACAATCCCTCAAGATTGATACACCATCTCCTTTAGCAATTGAGTGTATCATTTATCTTACTGGAAAGTAACCAGGTCGTCGTTGAAAAGCTGAAACTAATGTCTAATCTTTTCTAGGTCTGTTCTCGAAAACACCATGCCGTCTTCCAAAACCGACACAGGCATTCGACTCCCTCAGAACGATGACCAGACTCGCCGTCTGAGAAGCACTACTCAAGCTCAGAAAGCAGCCTCTCGACTGCAGGACGTCTCTCTCTCAGGACGCACAAGGGCTCATGCAGCTGCTGATCCGACTTCAAGCTGGACACCGGAAGAGATGTTCGAGTCTACTGTCAATCAATACAGCGATCCAATTCCCGATCGATACTCGTTCACCGACGGGGCTAGAATGGAGAGAGGAGCTTATGGCAACGATGAGGCGGATGCATTTGAGGCTGCCAACAACGAATTTGATTAAGTCTTCATGTTGTGATCATGGTTTAGCTGAAATGTGCGCGCTTTCATGGGGTACCTCTGCACTAGCTAGACTATCCAACGGCCCATAAATTTAGTTTCATCTATCAGTATCGATAGTATCGAAATTCGTGACACTTGTATCCATAGATACCTAGTAGCCCGTTACTCCCGCCGTTTAGCCGCGCTTGGTTGAATTTCTTCACTTTGACATTCAGAGACCGGTTGGTGAGAAAAGTCCGTACTACTAGGATGAAAAGATCACGCTTTCTGAGGTAGATTGCTAGATACTGGGTAACACTTTTTCTTTTCTGGTTTATAAAGGTCTGCCGGTCAACGCATCCGTCAACGAGCTGCACGGCGCTTTTCGCGTACATAAAGCTTTAAAATACAATATCATGTGTCAGCAATGATGGGCTCGTTATCGTATTCTCTTATTGCTGTGTATCCTAATTTGAGTGATATGTGGCCATCTGCCATCTTAGCCACTTTCTGATTCCTCATATTCGAGGCGGGACTTCCATGTTCCAGGTCAGTAAGATTTGTAATTATAATTCTGCCTTCTTTCTCTCTTCAGAGTCCATTGCAAGTTCAAATCTTTTATCGATTCCACCTAGATGATATAGACGTAAACGGTCACGTCACTCAAATGATGGGCTCGAGAGTACGACTGTCACGAGCCAGATCGCCTTCTGCGAATCTTGCATGATTGTAAGATAAAAAGAAAACATCCAATCCAGCATCGCAAGAATAAAGGCTATTTGTGCTTAGAACAAGTGAAGTAGATATACAAGAAAGCATTGAAACCAAGCATTCGATGGAAGAACTTGCTTTTGGCCAAGGGATGCCGACTATAATCCATAAAGACGTCGCGGGTTCAGGATCATCACATGATGCCATTCATCATCGGAGAGCCATTTCCGCAGGCTCTGGAGCCACTTCATATCGTCCACTTCTAAATATGGAGTCTCCGTAAGCGCTTCTTCACGCGCTCTGACCTTCATCAGAGGTGTATGGGGCCTATTACCATTAATACCAAATATTTCGAAGAGGGACAAGAAAATCACGTACCAGTCACTACCCCACACGACTTGTCTTGGATTGGCATCCATGAATGCGCGAACAAGCGGCTTGAGATTATCATAATCTGGAGCTTCCTTGCTGACACGATAGGGGGCACTGATCTTGATATACAAAATTCCATCTCGAACCAAATCGATCAGCTCTTGGAAGCCCTCTTGCCGAAAGACGTCGCCGTGCAACTCAGGAGGCAAAAGGCTTGCCCCCTTGAAGAGTGCAAAATGATCGGTTACGAGGCGACCGCCCAAGGGAGCTATTTGTTGGGTGATAACAGGCTTGAGCTTCACCCAGAATTCAGGGTGCAGTTGGGTAAAAGCCATACTCCAGGCGGGGAATCGACCCTTAAGCGCGTGCGCATGTTCGATGAGGGCCTTCTTTTGCAGTTCCACGTCATGCATTGCGTTGTAGCGATAAAGATTGACCCTGATACCGTGTATACCATCATCATACATCTTTTGGAGCTGGTCAGTAGTGACGGTCTCGGGATCAATGACTCCTATGCCACGGGTATTCTTTTCCCCCAACTCGGCGATGAACTTCGTGAGACTTGTACAATCAGCGCCGTAAGACAGCCCATGGGTCAAGACGGAGTTGGAAAGACCAAGGCTTTTCTTAAATTCGTTGTATCTCTCAACAGTAGCCGGAGGCGGGGTCAAATGACGATCCGGTGCGTAGGGGAATCTTTCCGCTGTCAATAATCAGTTTGTAAGTCGTGGTACAATCCTAAGGATTCATGGGGTTGCATCGTACGTTCAAAAATGTGATGATGTACATCCCATCCTCCCTGGGGGAAGAGCGATAGAGTCATTGCGATAAGTTGGAGCGCGTGGGATGCAAGTTCAAATCGTTTCTGGTCACAAAGGGGCCACTGAGGTCGTTCACTTTAAATAGATGAGAAGAAATATTAGATGGCGGACGACGTGAGGACAAAGACAGATAACGTTAGCTCGTCCCACTTTTGGGCGATCGACTTGAAGTATCAATCCGAGAACTTGGTCTGGGAATGCCCGCAATAGTGGGGTGACGAAAGCGGATCGTGAAAGGAGCACGGAGGCTTCTGAATTTCCTCCATGGTACTTATAATTTCGACAAAGAGCCTCTTTTCACTAGCAGCCCAATTGAGCTTTCTACGTAGCTCTCGGAGCAACCCGGACTAGTGACCATGTCGTCAATAGAGCGAAATATGCGTCTATTCGAAGACGGGGCTCTACCCCTTCACCTCCACAGATTGTTCACTCGGGGTCGGTGGGGAGTCCCAATGGATGATCAGTAAGCGGTGCTGTTGCCGACTACGTTATTCCATCTTCGCAGGCCTTGAAGCTTTAGATTTGTCGCAATGAGACTTATTTCATGGCCAGCTACGTCATTCTTTTCACGATTAGGGATGACACTATCGCCCTTTGACATTATAGAATGGGCTTCCCATGGTCCATCAGTACAAGTAACTTTTTTACATACCAGGTGATTTCAATGACATTTAAAACCTGTGCACGAAACGGAAACCGGAAAAGGCTATTATAAATTCATAGAGTAGAAGTAACGAGGATCAACTTAATTGTACAAACTGCCAGAAAGTATCATCAATTGATTCTTCCCCGCTTAAAATTGGAAAGCACGAATCTAGTGAGTCAACATGTTCTTGTTCTGGTGGCGCATCAGCTTGGCCTGTACTGCTAGCAGGTCCATCCTTGGCGTCAAACCCGACAGGAGAGACAACTGGGAACGTTAATGGGCGAGAAGTGGGCCGATTTGAATTTGGTAAATAGCCGTCTAAGTAGAAAGGGGAAAATTCCACCCTGAAAAGCAGGTCAGAGATGACGCGAATCTAGATGGAAGCGGCGCCAAGTCCCTCTCGGGAACTCCACCCCTGTCAAGGATCGTGACATCTTGTGAATACTGCGATTGTAAAGCTGAAGTGTTGAGTGCGTTAAGCCGCTCTATCAGAAGGTCTGCCGCTCTTTCCAGCCTTCGCTTGGCCTTCCTCACAGACGGCCACCATTCGCCCCCGGTACTTAACAGATTAGAGCAGAGACGCATGTTTTTCGAAACACTTGGTAGAGATACTGATTGCTGCACCGAAGGTAAGCCGCATACCAGATAAATTAGTATCACACCGGCGTGGAAGATGTCCTGCATGCTCCTCCAACTGCAAAATAATTGTTCAAGCTCGTATAGCTGCGAGTATATGGAGAGACGCGCTACAGCTGAGTCATAGCAAAGACGGCATGCTTCAAGGCTGGGCTTCCGAAGGGCCTGTGATGGCTGGAAGAGAAGTATGACTGCCGAGTGATATTGAGCTTCTAATTTCAGGCGAAGTCTTTTACGTAGTAATTCATCAGGAACTGTTAGTCGGTCCATGACGCCTGGAATATCATGCCGCCACATCTCAAGTTTGCTCTTGAGAATATTTTGCTGATTTTCGAGATCTGAAGGCCAAATGAACAGGTTCTGCTCACATGACGATGGGCAGCGGTACAACAGTAATTTGATGGCTGAAACCAACGATCCAGAGCAAAACGGTGTACTGTATACGGCCAGACACCGCTTGGGTCAAAGCTTGGAGCTAATGAGCTCCACTTATCGATGCTGTCGCCCTTGAAGTCGAGTGCGGGATCGGGCCTCTGAACGTCGAACGTCTCGTCTCTAATCCCGAGGGGTCTCCCTTGTATCGTTGAGATTGACCTGTGATTATTTAGAAAATGGAATCAAAATTTTTAGAAGTTAGAGTGCTGACCTGTCCAGTGAATAGACAGTCCAAAAAACCATCCGTCGAATATGAATAGGAAGACGATTGTGAGGACTTGCAGCCATTTCACGATGTAGCCCAATGTCAACGCAACTCGCCATACAGAGATGCACCATCGTCCAGATATTTATATTCGATGGTGTCATCAAACTGTGTGCTACTAGAAGCACCAGAGATTGTATAGTCGTAAGAGATGGAACAGCCAGACAATAATCAGCTATAGACACAGCTGCTTTGTAGAGTCGCTGAGGGGACTCTTCTGAATGCTTCTGACGGACCTTGAAGATAGACGCTAGACTCAAAGCCATAAGCACATGAAATGCCGCGGTGTATATTGATATTGATGTTTCGTATCGACCATCTCTTATTTCCATTTCGCCATTATATGCAAATGCCGGATCATCCTCGGGCCAGCCTTTTCTCCCTAGCGTTGGAGAGAGTTGTCTTGAAGAGAAATTATAGACCGCTTCGCAGATTCGACACAAAGACTCCGGATCGAGTACAGGAAAGTCAGGATGTACAGTACGGAAGTATTCATCCAGCAAATACTGACATCGAGCACGATGAGGCAATTCCTGAGTCGACTGTCAATACAACCCCAGATGTGTGTGTATTTTACTTACTTGACGAAGCGTAGCTCTCAACTGCTCCAAAGTAGTGTGATGCATGGCTATTGACGCCTGCCTCGGCGTTGAATCAGGCGAGGATTGAATACTGAAAGTGCTTGCACCGGCAACACCAACAAGATGCGCGAAAAGAATGCCAGTGGATGTGCCCATATAATATGTTTGTCGGGAATCCTCGTGCAGCGACACTTGTCCTAAGCTTTGCGCAACTGCACGAACCTCGTTGGCAATATTTGAGTCACCAGGGGGTGATTCCCAGCAATCGGGCTGAGGCTCACTCGTTGCGCCATCAAGGGACTGCGATGAACTGGTGGCTTCGGGAGCGATTGCGAGAGACGAACGTGCCTCGAGGGTCTCTTTCGAGACCATCGTCGACTGTGTGGAAACTAATTTCGCATCGGCGGAATCCAGCACCGCCTGACTTGAGCCATCGAGTTTTGGGCCGGCGGAAAGGTCCACATGCGGTAAATGTGTCTGTATGATCTGCTCTAGCCACTGGATTCGTCGAATACAATCTGCAGAAAAGCTGTGATGGATATCAACAAGTGGAAAATGCCAGTCTCGCCCAGGCATCCTTACCTACGTGGTAGTAGCACATCGCCAAGCCTCCCATCTGCATCTACACAAGTGGCGTTGGCTTTGAGGCAGTTCCTGCATGCCGGTACCTCTCCGTCACACTGTTGATCGTTCAGGTTGATGCCTGATGAATATGGGAATCGAACTGTAACGCACCTTGATACGACAATTTCGACAACGGACACACGCCGACCGAACCTTGGACAGGGCGAGCGCCGGTCGGACTGTTGTTGGTACCTGTCTGATTCATACTCGCATTTTCTTTGTATTCGTGCAGCATAAAGAAACGCCAGATAGGTATGAATAGAAGTTGGTGGGGTGAGGGTGGGCGGGGGACAGCCGAAGACCCTGCAAGGTTCGCAACCTTGTTACGCCAAGAGGTCTTTACTAGGGGGGAAACGGATTGTCCCGAGCACGGAATGTTCCGTCTACGCTAATCCACTTTCGGTGCCCCGCAAAGGACCTATTACAAGCTTATGGATATTTATCTGGCCCATCTTTCCCCGGTTTATTGGAATGACCTGAAGAGACGCATTAAAGCAATCTTATTTCGATTTGGCCCAGGCACAAGACTCGCTAGACGATCAGAATGTTTTCCGGTGAAAAAGATCTGGCTAGTTTTCCAGCCAACAATCTTACGTGGAGAATCTTGCACGATGCCGCCGAGGGGGGTTACGCTGTTGGTGCTTTCAACTGGTATGGAGCTCCTCATTTGTGATACTACAAAGAATCATATCATGGATGTCATTCGGTCCGTGATACAGGATGTATTGATTCACAGCAATTGACTAATCGTTGGACAATCACAACAGCTATAACAACGATGGTGTCATGGCGGTCATCCGAGCGGCTGAAGCCAAACGATCTCCTGCCCTTATTGAAATCTTTCCGTGGACGATGCATTTTCAAGGCCCCCACTTTGTCAAATACATCGTGGAAGCGGCTCACGCAGCCTCGGTTCCGATCGGGGTTCATCTCGATCATTGTATGGACCCAGCCGATGTTAAGCAGGCCTTGAGCTTGCCCATTGACTCCATTATGGTGGATGCTTCAAGACTAGAGCCAGAAGACAACATTCGCTATTGTCGGGAGATCACAGAGTTGGCTAAAGCCCAAGGCATCACCGTGGAAGCAGAAATGGGCCGTATCAACGGCGGAGAGGACGGCATCCCGGACGCGGGTCACCTAGAAGAGATTTTGACCGATCCTCAACACGCAGCAGATTTCACACAGCGAACTGGTGTCCATTTTCTGGCGCCCTCCTTTGGCAATATTCACGGACCCTACCCTGAAGGCGGCTCTGAGAGATATTGGCAACTTGATAGGTACGTATACACTCGGCGATCGAAGGCGGATATGAAGGGGGGGAAGAATCGAAGAGAGGATAAAAAAATGAAAAAAAGAAAAATTGCGAATTGAATACAAGAAGAGAAACAGTCGTATCTCGCTGACACATATCCAGGCTCAAGTCAATTGCCGACGCCATTGGGCCCTCAGTCCCGCTAGTTATCCACGGGACACACCCCGTGCCGGATTGGCTTTTCCGTAAGGCCATCGACACCGGCGCTCGTAAGATCAACATCAATCGGAATGCGCGGGACGAATACACCAAGTTTGTTGCTGAAAACGCGGGACGCCTTGAGCTCACGGCTTTGAAAGAGCAGTCAGTGGCTATCTATCAGAAATCCGTCGAATCCTTGATGGATGTCCTTGGTTCGTCTGGCAGGGCTCCATAGGCGGCGAAAGATGCACAGCGCCATATTGAAGCCGAGCTGGACAATAGGAAAGAAATCTAGTCCCTAGGGCTTGAACGAACCTACGTCCGCTGCATTTATCCGTTCCCTGATTGGTGGCCCCCGGGGCCCCTTCCCCGCCCCGACTAGTTTGTTGACTAAATAAAACCTTCTATTATTTCCAAGTATCACTGCCAAGATGCTAGCGCGATTAATTTATTGAGCGGGCCGCATTAAAGTTATGGGGCCGTGTAAGATATTGATACCCACAGTCGCTCAAACTTAGCAATCCACCGAATGCACAGGATAAACACTTGATTCCGCACTCAAGCGCAGATGGCCGTGCCATGTACCTCCATGATTAAACTCAAAGCATCCGATAGTGGTCCCACTGTTATGCAGTGTCGTCACTCACTTCTCCACCGCGGCTAAGATAGTCTTCTTCTCCGCCGTGGTATCACAGTTTGACCCCGTAGTCGTCGCCTTGTACGCATACCCCAGTACCTTCGACCTATCTACCTATCTACATCTATCCCATAGGTCAAGGTGCAGGAATTGGTGTTGGACTTAGACTTGATGATTCCCGCCAGGTACTCCCAGATCTCAAGCCCGGCCTTCACGGTGAAGATGATTTTGGAGGCGACTTTCACCGTGGTTACGACCTTCTGGATGGTAATCGCAGTCCGTTTGTCAACAGAGGGAGGAGGTATTGGTGGCGTTCGACCACTGCGAGGCGTAGTCGGCATTGATCACCTTCAGGGTAACCGTCATGTTTTCTGCCCGTCATCCCATTGCTGATGGATCGGTGAAGTAATCACCTCGTATGTTGTTTGAACGTCTCCAGCAAGACATGAATCAATAAACCGACATGTGAGATCGCTACACAGGAGAGTGGTGATCTTGACCAATACCCGTCGGTGTAGCGCTGGTATATGGCACAGAGATTGAGGAGAAAATTGCAAGCAAGCTGGATCAGATCTATTGTCATGGATAACCTGCGGAAATATGGCGGATTAGCAACGGTCTACCTGCGCATCCTCTGTGTAAGGTCGTGACGTCAATGACTTCTGGTTTCTTAGTACTTAATTCCTAGGATCTTGCTAGACCTTCGGGATAGCAAGGATCAGTCTTGAAATCAATAGACTGCTATTATTCTATACCTAACTGACCTACTTTCCTTAGAAAAGTCTAGAATTATTTTAAAAATATTCTTGTCTCATGAGATATCTTATAGTTTACTTTTTTATTTTAATCTAGTTAATATATTTATAAATCATTTAAACTTTTTTTTCTGCTGTAGTATTCGATATATTATACTAAACTGCAGACAAAATTAGTATATATATTACTGTTGGCCGCAACCCTGAGCGGGTATTTTGCCACCATCGACCGCTTCGTGAGCTGCCGCGGCCTACCGCCTCCAGCGAGGTTTCCATGTATCGTACATAGTGTAGATAGCGAGAATCAACCAAGCGTTGATGATCATACCAATTCTTCGTCATTGGCGGTTATCGTCACTGTTAACAATTACTATTTTTATAATATTATGCTTATATTATTTATTTTCTTGAAATTCATATTATTTAGTGTATGTTATTAGCTATAGATAGTCTATATACAGTTATATAAGCAAATATACTTAATTTTATAAAAGCAAACTATACAGTCGGAAAAACCTGCTGGACAGCAGGCTTTCTGTAGTGGGGGATGTAAAGAACTCCACTGGACATGGCTGGCAGGTCGATTCCGTTGTACAGATTGCCGATTCGCTTTCCGCGGAATTGGCCTGTCCTATCGGCATGTGACTTTCCCGCTTATCGACAAACTTCTCCGCATCCGCCATTTACTCCGACATCTTTCTTCTCCTTCCCTTCTTCTTTCCTCCTTCTTACCATTCAATCTTTTCATATTTCACCATCATAGCTCACAATGTCTTCTATCCGCTCTACAAGTCGTGGTCTTCGCCTCTTGGCTGCCAATTCGCGCCCTCGCAGCGTAACTCTGTTGTCACAACCTCTCATTGCTTCTCCCCGCCTTCTCCGCTCCGCCGCCGTCTCTCCTACTTCTACTGCTCGCCCTCGTATTGCAATTGCTCCATTGCGCGCTAACGGAGGCTTGCGCTATGCATCCTCTTCAAGCTCCACCGGCTCGCTGAAACAAACGCAATTGTATGATGTCCATGTTGCAAACGGCGCAAAGATGGTGCCTTTTGCGGGGTTCTCCATGCCCCTCCAATACTCCGACCTGAGCCATGTTGAGAGCCACCACTGGACCCGCGAAAAGGCCAGTTTGTTTGACGTTAGCCACATGTAAGCTCCAGTACCCGACCATCTACCTTTGGTTCGGTCTTGCTAACACAGACATGCAGGGTTCAGCACCACTTGAGCGGCCCCGGCGCCCTGGAACTTCTCATGAAAATCACACCCTCCTCACTCGACAAGCTCAAGCCCAACACATCGACCCTCTCTTGCCTCCTCGAAGATGGCACAGGCGGCATTCTTGATGACACTGTGATCACCCGGTTGTCTTCTGATACCTTCTACTTTGTTACCAACGCTGGCCGCCGCGCTGAAGATCTTGCCTTCCTCCAAGCTGAGATTGACATCTACCGGTCCACTCACGGCCCTGAGTCCATCAACTGGGAGATTCTCGATGACCGCGCTCTCGTTGCCCTGCAGGGTCCTCTGGCTGCTTCTGTCCTTCAGCCTCTGGTCAAGGACTCCGACCTCAGCAACCTCTACTTCGGCAACTGCCGGTCGATCACTCTGACATTCCCCGATGGAAGTTCGAGCGCGGAGCCCCTTCTGGTCTCTCGCACTGGCTACACGGGTGAGGACGGATTTGAGATTAGCATTCCCACTGCTAAGGATCCTTCCCTTCCCCGCCGTGTGACAGAACTCCTTTTGTCGAATCCCGAGCAGGTGCGCCTTGCCGGTCTCGCCGCTCGTGACTCTCTCCGCCTCGAGGCAGGCATGTGTCTGTACGGCAGCGACATTTCTACTTCTCAGACGCCTCCCTCTGCATCCCTGACCTGGCTTGTGGGCAAGGAGCGTCGCGATCCCGCCACCGCCAAATTCAACGGCGCTGGCACGATCCTTCCTCAGGTCGCTTCCCCTGCCAAGACTCTTTCCCAGCGCCGGGTGGGGTTCACCGTCGAGAAGGGATCCCCTGCTCGCGAAGGCGCTATCATTGTGGATCTCAACGACGAGTCCCGTGCGCAGATCGGAGTGATCACCTCCGGCCTGCCGAGTCCGTCGCTGGGAGGTGTGAACATCGCGATGGGATATATCAAGAATGGCCTGCACAAGAAGGGAACCGAGGTGGGAGTGTTGGTCCGGAATAAGGTCAGAAAGGCCACGGTCACCGGGATGCCGTGGGTTGAGAGCAAGTTCTACCGGCCCAAGGCTTAGATTGGAAACTGTTTTCGAGGACTCGTTACATGGATAGACATTAGGTGTTTTCAGCGTCTGTTTTTGTTTCATCTGGGTATGATATTTTAGATTCCCCAGTCTCTTGTTTTGCGACGATGGTATGACGTCAAGTCAGGTTTGCACTGTACTGTACATACAAAGTTTATGTTTTGGCCCTCTGCATGTTTAGCTTCAACCAGTGGATATTCGAGGCTCACCCGCTTGGTGAATTCAACTTCTGCCTCAAACACTTAAGAATTAATCGCATTTCAGAAAAGCTTTTTAAAAAAAGATGTAGCGTCATCCAGGAGATATAGCGTCTGTTTGTACCCCAATGCGATAAGACCATTGATGCCTTGGGTATCAGGCGCTTCACAGCATGTTTGGGACATTTGCATCATAGTCACGTGCAGATAGCCTTCTGTTTACATCCTTCACGTGCCGTGGTCACCAATCGCTTTATCCCTATCCTATACCTTTAATTGTTTCAAACCAGGTGAACGATCGCAAATATCACAATCTCTGCCTCGAATGACCTCGCGAGCGACAACTCAAAAAAGAATGGGCATCGACAGCACCGCCGAAGACGTAAGCTCCTGTCTCAATTCCCTTCCCCCCCCTTCCGCGCGGAGCCTACCCAATTGCCCCAGAAACGCAAACCGAAGACTTGCTTTCCCCCCCCTTTCAACATGAACACAAACCACTAACCCCGCCTCAAAAACAGTATGATCTAAGTCTACATACCCTCTCCCTCGAGAGAGAATATGACCAGACCGTGAGCACCGCGGCGCAGCTCCTCGACCAGGAGGCCCGCCGCGTCCACCGGGTGGACCAGCTGCTGCTGCAGTTCGAGAATGAGAACCTGCAGCAGCAGCTCGATCAGGCGCGTCAGGAGATCGGGCGGGTGCGCTCCGCCGAGCTGGAGATTCTGGGGAGGTTGAATCAGGTCGCGCTGGAGCGGGACCGCATCCAGCAGACGGTGTATGTGCTGGGGCATGAGAAGGAGAATCTTGCTGTAAGTTCTACGTTCTTATTCTTATCCTTGCTGCTTTGCTGTTACGAGTTGGGGGTTTGGGCAGGGGATGGAGGAGAGGGGCTTTTTTTCTTGCCGTTGTGTTTGCTTGGTGCTTCGTTGGACTTCTTTTCGTGTCAAGGCATTGTACTAAATTTCCGACCAGCGAGAGCTGGAATCTATGTCCGACACATCCGTCGAGGTGAAAACCTTGATGACGGAGAAGATGCGCCTGGCTAAGGAGTTGGCCGGGGTGCAGACCGAGGTGCAGCGGTTGCAGTCAGTGGAAATCTCGTCGCAGACTCTCTTGGCGGAGAAGCAGGCGCTCTCACGGCAGTTGAGTTCGCTGGAGGTGGAGCTTGAGAATGAGAGGCGCGCGCACGAGCGGACGCGTTCTGCTCGCGGTGGGTCTGAGCAGCAGCAGCAACAGCAGCAGCAACAACAACAGCAACAATTGCAACAACAATTACAAAAACAGCAGCAACAACAACAAGCAGCCACTGCAAAGTGGAATGCAGAGAAAGCCGCGTTGGAAGATAAGATCGAGACGCTTACGAAGAAGCTCCTCGCGACCAAGGATC